ACCCAGTCACCAGTAAGTACCAGTCATCTCATAACATGAACGCGACCCATAGCCGCCACCCTCTGGCACATCGCCAGCCTCCAGTTTCAATTCTGTTTGTTCCATTTCCCCAGCGTGGTTGATCCACATTGGTGGGTTTCAGCCGAGAACACACCACGGTGCTGAGAGTAGAAGTCGTGTACAGTGAGTGTGTGTGTTTGCAAGAAGCTGTGACTGCGCCATTTGAGTATGGAAGGCCGAGAGCGAATTGTGATTTTGTGGTGCAGTGCGTTGCTCTGTTAATGCCCGAGTAGGTTGAATGGACTTTGTGTGTGTGTGAGTGTGAAGCTGCATAAGGGGTTCCACAAGGCGTCCATCCATAATAAGTGTTTTTCGGTTAGATCGCGTAAATATGTGTCGTTTAACCCGCCACCACCCGACACAGCCAATTAGTAAGGGTTTTGTCACGTAAACAAAGCGTGGCCAATTAGTTACTAGCACAGCACACCGCTGTGTCAAAAAGTGAACCCACTACAACATTTACAATTCGTGTACCGTGACAACAACAGCAGCAGCATCATCAGGCGACAGCCAGAGAGTCGTGGAGGGATCCTCCTCCTGGACGGGATAAATTTGATGTCATCACTTCAGGTGCGAAGACCAGAGAGGTGGGGGGGGGGGGTCTTAATGTATTAATATACATTACAATGGATCTCTATCATTGGTTGGAATATTTACAGTTAATCAACATACATTAGTACATTATCCAAAAGTTTATTTTGGTTAGATCACGTAAATACACAACCGTTTGTTGATTATGGATGATATTGATCGCAAAAGCCTACGTGTTATGTATGTACCTTACGAATGTAGATTATGCGTGTACATTGTGTACGTACATCTTGCTGTTTGTGTGTCCAAAAATTCGAAAAGCTGTTCACAGCTAATCACCGTCGACCTGTATAAGAATGAAATTAAACTTTGTACTTTTACTTGATAATACGCTTCCAAGCAACACACTAAGCCTGTGGCTATCAAAACGGTTCGAATTATTTTCTATTTCTCTCAGTGTCAAAAGATGATCTAATTAGTCTTGGCCAGCAGTAACTAGTTTTGCACAAAACCTCAACATTATTAAAATCAATTGTGTCATTGTTGGCACGCCTGTTCATGCATATGTATTGCTTCTATTGATCGTTCCGAAATCAGTTGGTGGTACGGTCATCATTTATTTAGAGAACATGTGCACGCTAAGCAAAAGGGTGCCGCAGTGATGGGGCGGGGGGGCTGCGATGGAAAGATGTTAACCACCTCGCCTGATGCGCAGGAGGTCGTAGGTTCGATCACGACCCTGACGCCGGTATATTTGGAGTTTGCGGTGTCTCTCTCTCCCCTTGGTCGCGTGGATTTTTCTCCGGGTCCTCTGGGGTTTTCCCTCCACGTTTAGAATCAAGTATTTGACCACTGCTATAAATGTCCACGTGATGATGATAAGCCACTTCGTTGAGCTGTCATTTGTGGCCAGGTCGCTTCTGAAAAAAGGGGCTATGTAGCTCAGTGGGCCTTACCTGGTAAAATATGAAGAGTATAGTTTATAGTTTTAGATTGTAACTATTTAGGAATAGTGAACTAGGGTAGGACACCGTGTAAAGGTGATTAAGAATAGTGATGAAATGTCAGCCAAGGGAGGGGATCTCATCCAACGGCATGTCCAGCAAGGAGATGATATCACGTGCAGGTGCCTCTCTCGGGGTTTCCCTGCATCGCAGGAGCGTGAGAAGAGACGGGAGCAGCTCGGGGAAGACCTTCATTCAGCGGTGGAGTTACCGTGGCCGATGATGAATGACGACAGCGTTCCGAGCCGATATTAAGACGGCATCGTGCTGCCGCACATGAGGTCATGTATAACGAGGTCGTCAGACGCACAGCACGCGATGTGTGACATCGTGGCCACGAAGCCTTTGTGTTGTTATTAGTATGCGCTGGTTTTTATTATAGATGTAGCGCTGAACTTGGGCCCACCCATGAATAGATCTGCCCGTTTGTCTCGAGGGGGCAAACCCATTACAGCAACACAACTCTAAAGTAATACAATTTAATTTAACCTGAATACATGAGCATTTAGGTTAAAGCGACCCCACCGCCACCCACAAAATACAGACAGATGGGCGGACAGAGGGGCAAGAGCTAATGCATCATTAACAACGCCTTCATCCTTCGTTGGAAAGCGGTAATCGGGGTCAATAATGATGGGACCATTAGGGTGGCAAGCCGAAGGTCGTTTTACTCTGGAGTGTTGCCAACAGACTTTGGACGGGCAGCTTTATCTTTTATATGTGTCCGTTGGCAAGGTGGGATGATACGGAAGAAGGCAGGCTGAGAATGAGAGACATCGCGTTTAAAAAAAAAAATCAGAGAGGCGGTAGGTTTGCGGAGAGTTGAAATGTGTTTAATGGCAAGTAGTGCCGGATTATCCTAGTAGCAAAAGTAGCTACATAATGCCACGGGCCCCGCACTTTCAAGGGCCCCGCGCTAAACGCTTTCGAGCGATCAATTCCGGTTCGGTGATTCTGCACTTGTTCTAGTACTATAGTATTATTCTGCCTTAAACTTTTATGAACGACTGGGTGTTTAAGGTTAGCGATTTGTCGTATTATCTGGCTGTATAGCAAATGAAAAAATACAATTACTTTACTATGCAAGTTGAAAATTAGTGTTTTAATATTTGTTTTGTTTTAAATTTAGGGCCCCTTTATAACATATGCTACAGGCCCCGTACTTGCTTAATCAGGCAGTGGTGCCAAGACTGAGAGCGTATTGAGATTGTTCTTCGTTAATTGAAGCAATTGGCGGGACCCCGGGGTCCCATCAGTGCCCCGGGGTGGGAAAAACCGCGTAGCGACACGAGTCTCGCCTTACCGACAACAAAACTAGTGTCAATCGATTGACCTCGTCGAGAGCTACTCGGGGCACTAAGTTTCGTAAAAAGTTGAAAAATTACATAAACACGTTAAATTCACTGCCTTGGGGGACGGGCTCGCCTTGGCAAAGAAGCTGAGGATCGACGGCTGACCGGAGGGCGTTGTCGCCGCGCGCGACTGCGGCGGACGCCCCCCGGGGCTCGCGTTTGGCCGGTGGGGTGGCGCCCATCGTGTCGATCGCCGCCTGCTGCTGCTGGTGCTTGTTGGTGCGAGTCTGGGCGGGCGGCGCATTGCTGTCGGGATCACGAGTGGGCGGACTGAAAAATAATTATTGACCTGATTTTTGCGGGACCCCGGGGTCCCGCCAAATGATTCAATTGTGGAATAGGAAATAGCACATGGGGAGAGAATTGGTATTTAATGTTGGCATTGTACACATTATTTTTGAAATCTAGATACTCATATCTCTAGCACTGCTTTTTGTGTTTAGTTTTGTTGAAATCGCCGAGTTTGGCGACACCGCCGCCACCGCTGGGAGAAATAAATCAGTCGCGGACGCCGCGAGGCACGGCCAACATCGTGGCGACTGCTTATTTATTTATTTCAAAGCGCGATGTAAGGATAATTCCTCGTTCCCGCGGCGCGGACAGTAACACTGTAAACCCGTGGGGGGGGGGGGGCAGGAGAGGGAAGCTGCCCCCTTACTCCCGTCACGGTGGTGAGGGGGGGGGGGGCGCTGTAGCGACACACACAGACACAGACACGTGTAGTAGGCGGTCGCGGCCAATATTAACCATGAAAACGTTTTTCTTGGGTTGGATCGCGTAAATATAAATGTTTCGTGAACCCACAATCACCACCACCCGACACGGACCAATTAGTAACTACTTCACCACACCGCTTGTGTGTTGGAGAGTACGGTAAACATTTGCAATTTACTCTCCAACACACAAGCGGTGTGAAGTAGTAACTAATTGCCACCTTCTCTTTGCATGACAAACCTTACTAATTGGCCGTGGCGGGTGGTGGTGGGTTAACATTTACGTGATCTAACCCAAGAAAAAACCTCTTGGGTGGGTGGGGCGGAGGGGGTTACTGGGTGGTTGGGGTGGGTGGAGCGGGGGGGGGGGTTACTGGGTGTATGGTGGGTGGGGGGTGTGTGGTGGGTGGGGGGTGTGTGGAGTGTGTGTGGTGGGTGGGGGGTGTGTGGTGTGTGTGTGGTGGGTGGGGGGTGTGTGGTGGGTGGGGGGTGTGTGGTGGGGCGCAGGAACAGGCGAGGTTGATGAAAGCAAAGCGCGCATGGATGAGAAGGGGCGGCAGGAAGAGCCGGCCTTCTGGGGATAAGGACAGGGTTGAGGTTTGGAAGAGGGGGTTACGTTTTAGGATCAGGGGGTTAGGAGAACGGGGAAATAGGATAGGCTTGGGGTGAAGGGACAGGGTTAGAGTTAAGAGTTCAGGTTAGGGATGGGTTTTGGTTCAAGGGCGTTTTAGAATGGAGACAGGGAACTTAAGGTGTTGGGGTTAGGCATTAGAAATGGGGGCTAGGATAGGCTTGGGGAGTTTGGAATAGAAGGGTTTGGGGTTAGGGTTGGGAATAGGCATAGGGTTACAGAGGGTTAGGGTTATGGGATAGGGGTTGTGGTTAGGGATAGTGTTGAGGCTACGGTTGGGGTTAAGAGATAGGGGAGTGGGTTGGGATTTCGTGAATGGTTCGGCGCGAGGGATAGGGGGTGTGGTTAGTAATACGCTTGTGGAAGTGGATAAGGTTGGAGATGGTTGCGGTTACGTATGTGGTTACGTATGTGGTTGTGGTTAGGGGTTGGGTTATGGACAGGGCTAGGGACAGCAATTTGCTGCAGCAGTATCTTTCTGAGCAGCGGGTACTTCGCATGGCAGCGCCAGCTTCACTCGGCATTTTACTATTTATCCCGATTGAACCACGATTCAAACCCAGAATGAGTTTCGTCCGGTTCATCCTGTCTCATATGATACGATATGTTTGGTCAGAATTATTCCTTCATTGGCCTACAGGAAACAATTGCATATAATTTTTATACGATGACCGATCCTCGCATACACTCTTGGACGCACGTCGCATGAGCATAATAATCGTTTTTAATTCGATCAATACGGTACTTATGTGTTTGGAGCTCCCTTTAGCGGAGGCCTTTCCGCCAGCACAGGCACGAGCAAAGTAATTGCAGGGCTGCAACTTGATCTTTTTTCGTTTTACTTACACGTCCATGGACCACCCTGCGCACAAAACGTCATGAATCCAAAAACCGGCTGGATCTCAATCAAAACAACCGGAAACGAGAACCATGAACCCCGGGGGCACGGGGTTGAGGTGGGAACCTCAACAAAACCGCCACCGAGGTTCCGCAAACGCAACGCGTTGGCGCGTCTCTCTTTCTCTCTCTCTCTCACTCTCCTCCGAACCAACGCAACAAAAAGTGTCGTCCTGAATCAGGACAGGGAGTGCCGGCGCCGGTGGCCCCGAGCGCGCGCGATGCGCCCGGTCCACGGGGCGCCTCCCAAACTCCCATTCCCCCCCACAGTCGGGAGGCCACAGCCGCGTGCTCTTGACGGACAAGCACGGCGCGTACGAGCCACATAAATAACGGGTGGTGCCTGCTGGCAGGCAATCGGCGCGGCTAGCACCGCGGCAGAACTGAACCCCACCCCCCTCCCCTTCTCTCGCTTGGTCACGGGCAGCCGAGACATTGCTCTGTGACCAGCAGTGTGGGTGGGGTGGGGGGTGCGGCAGAGCGGGTTTAGGAGGCGAGTGGTGATGGCGAGCGGTAGATGGTGAGCGGCGGAGGGGCTCTTCGTCGCTGCAGGGATCGCCGCTGCACGCCGGTGCCGTGCCTGCGGCAGTGGTGATCTTTGTGGCTCGGCGCCAGCGGCGGCTACGAGGGCGCCAGCGAGTGGGCACAGCCGTTGAGCAGGCCGCACGGAGGGTGGGTCGCGAGCGCGTCGTCAACGTGCCCGACCAGCATGCCGCAGTCGCTCTGCAACGACAGCGGCGCCACGGCGGCGGTGGTGGTCGGGCAGATGACTCGGTACAGAGAGCCGTGGCACACGAAGACAACAAAGACCCCCCCACCGTCGCGTAGCCTTTAAACAACATTTCTATAACAAAACGGACTGCGGCGTTTATTTACTTGTGCTAATGATTGCAGTGTTTCACCTGGGTAATCCTTCCAGATGGAAGGTCTCGTTTGCAAGGGTTCCCTGGGTGTCAAATGACGTGAGCAAACAATTACAAAGATCCCCCGTATAGCCTTTAACAGACTTTGGGCAAGTGCTGTTAGCGAGCGCCTATGAAGGCCGGCACGACACACGAGGTTGGTGGTTGGCCAGCACCACTCCCGGCCACCTTTGCCCCCCTGGTTGCGAAATTTACATACCTCACCCGGTATTCATTTGAGGCTGAGACGACCTAGGGGAGGCCCAGTACCGATTCAGATAATTGTCACTGGTGTTGGCCATTATCGAACTCGGGTCGCCGGATTCGTAGCGGCGTGCGCTAACCGTTGCATGACTGCTCTCCATAACAAAGACAGGCTCAAAACTCACTCAAGCACCAGCTCACCTCACTGATGAGGCCAAACTGCACCAGTTCAGCCACCAGCATTTGTGAGTTGTCTCCTGTGAGCACACACATACAGACAAAGATCCAACATGCAGCCTTTCACACATTGTTGGAGCATTTGCTGTCGCGAGAATCAATGAAGGCCGGCACGGTGCACGAGAGGGAGCTGTGGTCAACACCATGACTGGCCCCCTTTGTCTCCCCAGTGCTGATATTTACACACCGCACCAGGTAATCATTTGATGCTAAATTTGACTTGGAGGAAGCCCAGGGCTGGTTCAGATGTCACTTGCCACTCATGCTAGCTGTGGTCGGGTCCAAAGTGCAGCGTGCCAACCACACCACCATCACTCTCCACACACGCTAACCACGAAGCCACACACACATTAACCACTACAACACAACCACGCACTAGCCACTACGACACACACACATTCGCAAACACACGCACGCGAGCACACATACAGTGCGACAGTGTTACGGAAGCTGCAGCAGCAGTAGTTACTTTGTGCAACTTAAGTTGTGAAAGAGCATCTGCCTGCCCGTGCACGCACACGCGCACACGTGCACACACGCACACGTGCACACACACGTGCACGCGAAAGCACAGCGCAAGCACGCACCTGGCTGGATCTCACAGCTGAGCTGCCGGTTGAGCTTGTCATCCAGCTTCAGGAAGAGCAAGAGCTGTGGGGAGGGCAGGACGAGGACTTTTAGGCAACGAACCGATTTCCCCGCGTCCGTAGCGCCCTGGTCACGGGCTCGGCACCACCACTGCTGCCATCATCATCGTCACCGCGGTTGGCGGACTACGAGGCGGGCACGGGAACGCGCTGCCCCGCACGGAACAAGGCTAAAATCCTCCCCCATTATTTATCACACCTGGCCCGAGCGGGTGAACGACCTTCAAGACGCACACTGTAGGCAAACATCATTATTATTATCACTACCCCTTCAGGGGGGGATAGACAAAGCTGGCAGTGTTAGCGAGCACACTGGCACAGTCTGCCGGGTGGATGTGCAACATTAACAATTTAACGGTTCTTTGTGAATCAATCGCAGGATTGAAGGCATGCAGTGTCGAAGATTAAGGGTTCGTTTGGCCATACTTCGCCACGCTGGTCAGTGCAGGTTGTTGAAGGGGGGGCGGGGGGCAGTTGTGGGTGGGGGGGGGGGGAGTACTCAGGACTGGTTGAGATATGACTCACCCCTGGTGGTGGCCGTGGCCAGTAATCCAACTCAGGTGTGCTGCAGTAAATGGGTTTGGCAATGTGGGGGGAACCGGCCGGACGCCCGGAGAGAACGCACGCCCGCACTAGGGGATGACATTATCAGCTCCCGCTCACTTGGATTCAACCCATGGCATGCTGCCGTATCTCGGCTACCACCTTGCAGCTCAAACCTACAACACCTGGTATTCTCATGCAGTCTACCCTAACAAGTGGTTAGCCAGGCTCAAGAAATTCTGCTTAGCTTTCAAGCCCGGGACATTTATCATCGTGGTTTGGGGGGATTGGACCCCGCGCACTCACATGTCGGCGGCTGCCGTCCTCGCACACCTCCACGCTGCACTGCACGTGGACCACCTGCAGAAGCGACAGATCATCAGCTAGCATGCAGCGACCACACGCAGGCCCTGCTGCGACCAGGCCACGCACCCCGGATGCCAGATCCCCTGCTTTGGCCACCGGTGCGGTTGAATGTCCTGCACATTCGATAGCTACGCCACTGCCCTCAGAATGCTGCTGCAGGCCGTGTGTGTTGAGTGTGTGTTGTGTGTGTTGTGCATGTGTCGAGTGTGTGTTGAGTGTGTGTTGAGTGTGTGTGTTACGTGTGTGTGTGTTGAGTGTGTGTTGAGTGTGTGTTGTGTGTGTTAAGTGTGTGCGTTACGTGTGTGTGTGTGTGTGTTGAGCGTGTGTGTTGAGTGTGTGTGTGTGTTGAGTGTGTGTGTTACGTGTGTGTGTGTTACGTGTGTGTGTGTTGAGTGTGTGTTGTGTGTGTTAAGTGTGTGCGTTACGTGTGTGTGTTGAGCGTGTGTGTTGAGTGTGTGTGTGTGTTGAGTGTGTGTGTTACATGTGTGTATGTTACGTGTGTGTGTGTGTTGTGTGTGTGTTGTATGGTGCAGGCCCCTACCCTGCGCGTCTCCTGCTCCATGGGCTCGGGCGTGGGGCTGCGCTCGGACTCGGGGGCTGCGGGCGACTGGGCGCGGGCCGAGTGGTGCGGCTGTGGCAGCCCGAACGCCGTCAGTGGGTAGATCCCATTCCTGCTCGCGCGCACAAAGACAAAGATCCCCCGTATAGCCTTTAATAGACTGTTGGGGCAAGTGCTATTAGCAAGCACCTATGAAGGCCGGCACGGCACACGAGGGGGTGAGTGGCCAACACCACGCCCGGCCGCCTTTTTCTCTCCCAGTGGCGATGTTTACACATCACACCAGGTAATCATTTGAGGCCGAGTCAACCTAGGGGATGGTTTCAGATAATCGTCAGTGGTGTTGGCCATGAATGGGAATCGAACTCGGGTCGCTGGGTTCGTAGCGCGGCACGCTAACCGCTACACCACCGCTCCCCACACGTAACGGTGTAAACGATTGCGATGAAGTGCAATGGCCCTTCATGTGCTATGAAGAACCATTTCTCGAAACGTTGCCCATTACATATTTTCCCCTTAAGAGGCCACAGTGTTGTTATTAACGAATGTGTTGAGTTCTATGTTAATTGTGCTTGTGCATCACTGCCAAACCAGCAGCACCAGATATATAATTGTTGTCATTAAATGTGCTCGTGGGTGCTACAGATGCAGAAAATGCCAGCCTTGTCTTGCTATTCCCACCAATTAGTTTTGGCAGCGGACTGGAACGCCATGGAACGATATCTCCCCCCACGTCAGGAATTGTGACTCTGTCAGCGCTTTTGAATACAATGTTAAAAAGCTATTTTTATTCATGTCTTTTCCTGTAGTTCGATCCGATTGTACCAACACTGTAATTTTATAATTGGCTTTTAACGTAGTTCTTCATTTGATCTACATTGCAAGTGTAGTTATTATTGTATTACATCTGGAATATATTCACTTAGGAGAGGATAGATTTTAGCATTTTGTAATTTCATCCAGGCCATCCCTTCGCCTCATTGCCACATTTCATCACGAGTTGACTGTACAGGATACACGCACTCCAAGCGCTCGCGTTTACACACGAATCGGTGAGACACGTACTTGACGTCTTCGAGAAACTTGTCCAGTTCCAGGGACGAAAGCTGAGAAAACCTGAGAAGGAAAATGAAGGAAGTGAAAGGGGTTCTGCTTAATCACACATCGCGAGCCTCCTCTTTAGGCCTGTTAAAACCACACGCAGGCACCACACACACACACAGAGCACACACCTCCTTGGGGAACCAAAAATTGTTTATATGCAGTCGTTTCCAGTTTCTGCAATGTGCTCTTCAAATTCTCAGCCACCTCTGCCGCTATTTGCTGAAATTATTTTTTGTTATTGGCCACCCTCTCACCTCACGATTCCCCACCAGGCACTTTGCCTATCTCACACCTCTCATCTCACTCCACTCCCCTCCCTCCACACTCTCTCCTACCTCTCAACTCACTCTACTCCCCTCCATGCGCTCTCCACTCCGGAAACTAAAGTTTTTCGTCAATGTCTCCAGTCAACCTTCGCTCAGTTGGAAGTCGTTCATTCTCTTCTGCTGTCCCCAGAATCTGGAACTCCCTTCCCCCAGCCACCCGTGTTGTCTACTAATTCCCTCCCCCCCCCACACTGTTCAAGTCCAGACTCCAAGACCTTCCCCTTTTGTTTCTTCGACCTACGATTTAGACTGCCTCTCTCCCGCTCCACGAAATAAACGTGCCCACCGTTTCCGTACGGCGTGCTCAACTGCAGTCGCATTCAGACGCGGCTACAGCAATCCGCGTCGAGCTGCAATTCGCTTGTTGTGTGCGTCCGACCGAGTTCGCCGTGTGCGGCCTGCGCCGAGTGCTCGTGCTGCGGGCACCTCCACTGCACGCCCTCCCTCCCCAGGTGGGAGATCTCGGCGATGACTCCGTTGACATCAATCCTCTTGGTCATCTCCTCCACCGCGTTCTCCGCCAGGGTGTCTGCACGCAAACACAACTTACCCCTGCAATGACGGTCGCCGCCAGATAACTTTTTTCACAATTGCGACACGAAAAGCAAGCAACGTTCACGGAAGGGACGACTGTCGCTACAATTGGGGCGGCGATGCCGCCCAGCGGTCCCTCGTTGGCCACTTGTCCGCAGACTTTCACGGTTCAAATCCGACAGGCCGTCCCGGTTATTACTGGGGGTGTATCGACAGTAAAGTGCTCCGCGTCGCTTGCCAAATTCGAAAAAAACCACACCGCAAATTAATAATCCTATTAATTAGGACTACACACCGCGGGAATCATTGCCCACTGCCTGGCAAACTAATGCCCGCTTGCAGGCCACGTGCCGTGTGACCTTGTGCTGCACAGGGACAGCTGCAACTGGCGGTGCCCCTTTCAAAGAAGCACAAGATGTGGTGCAGGTCGTTTGTTGCGTGCAAAGCGCTCGGAGACACCCCGGCGTAAAGGAAGGCGGCTCTATTTAAAACAAATCGTTATTATTTATTAACTATGGTTGCCATGGCGTCGTTTTTCACGATACGATATACATTTCCAATAGCAATAGTAGCTATTGAGTATTGATTAATAGCAGTAAAAGTAGCTATTGAATAATAATAATAGCTAGTCGGTTGAACGGCTTGTCTGTTACTCAGTAGCTACTACTAGCGTATTAGGCAACTATTCAAATCGCAATTTCAAACGGGTTATCAGAAAACAGTAAAAAAAAACTATTCTCCTCAGGCCCCATGGTGTCCAGTGCAGCATTCAACTCTTATCATCCACTCCGTCTCTCTCACCTCTCGAGGTGTGTGCTATAAAGGAGGGCTACTGCTTGAATCGTCGTTGATTACATACTCTTCCTTGTAAAGCCGCACACACACTGTCAGTAGTCACGAGCACAAACGGAACTCGGGTGGCCAGGTTCGTAGTGCAGTACGCTATACGTTGCGCTACTGTTCCCCGTGGACACCACAGTGCACATACACACAGCATACACACGCACAGCACACACACGACCAACACACATACACAGCACGCACACACACACAGCACGCACACACACACGCGGGTGCTTACGCGCGTGTCCCAGGAAGCGGTGCGCGGCGAGCAGCTTGAGGGACGGCACCTCGAAGAGCGCCGGGTGGAAGAGCAGCTCCCGCGCCGTGGGCCGGCCCGGCGCCTCCGGACACAGGCACCGCTGGATGAACTCCTGGCCAACGCGCAGAGGGCAATCGCCCACACAAAGGTAAAGATCGCCCGTATAGCCTTAACGGGATTTTGGGGAAAGCGCTGTAAGCGAGTAGCACCCACGCAGATCGGCACGGCACCACGCCCGGCCGCCTTTGTCTCCCGAGTGGTGATGTTTACACACCGCAGCAGGTACTCATTTGAGACTGAGTCGACCTCGGGGAGGCCCAAGACCGGTTCAGATATTCGTCACCGGTGTTGGCCGCGAGCGGGAATTTAACGCGGGTTACCGGGTTCGTAGCGCAGCGCGCTAATCGCTGCGCCACCGCTCCCCACAGACGCACCCACACGTGTACGCACGCTCATCACCTGGGTACGGGAATCTGTTCTAGGCCGCCGATCAAGCGGGACCTGGCTGAAAACTAATCTCAAGCAATGGTCGAGGACGAGAGATTGGGAGTTATGGGTGGTGCAAATGTTTTACACTGGTTTGGTGTGGGGAATGCTTCACTCAAGGCAGGTGGGAGGCAGGGCGCAGTGGAGGGGTCAGGTGCGAGGTGACGCTGCACATTTTTCGATGTTGGGAGTTGGGGGGAAACAAGTAAAAACATCTTCTGCAGGGAGATGCTGGGGCAGGCAAACAGACGGCTTCGCAACACGGGTGAAGAACATGGGGTTTGATTACCGGGGTCAATTTACAATGAGCTTTTGTTTATGCTGATAAAAAATAATGTTCATTTACATAATTAACGGATGTGTTGCTATTTGGGATTCATTAACGTATACAAAAAAAACGGCCAAACTGATCATTAATGTGCTGTGCAGAAGAACCGTTGCCCAAAACTTCACCTATTTATTATTTTCTTTTACAGCCACTGCGTTATCCATAAACGTGTTGAGTTTTTTTCGTTGTAAATCAAATGGAAGGGTGGCCCAAAACTTGAAGACACAAACCACAGCTATAAGGCAATATTTTAAAACATGCAAACTCATTTTGCACCGAGAGCTGCCCTTTGGCTTCCAGACTGCCAGTTAAATATTACAAAAGGATGGACGCGTGTTGGAAAGCGTTGTATAATCCCACATGTACGCGTTATTTTCTTGGAGCCTGTTAATGCTCAAACGAAGTCAAACGGCTCCTCTGCCCCTGTCCGCCAACCCTATTTGCCACCCCCCATTGAGTTTTGGTGGAGAGATAAACGCTCTGTGCTTCCACCCTCCCCTCAGGTCTGTCAGACTGAAAGGCAACGGGCCCTCTTGCACTGCCCTATCCTTGTGGCGGCCACGCGCGGCTGGCAGGCGCGGCCGTGAGCGAGGTGCTCGATGCTACCCTCTGCAGGGGGTCCTCCAGGGAGCCGATGGCGGCCTGCACGGCCTCCTGCGAGACCACCGTGGAGTCACCGTTGGGCTGGATCTCCAGCACGGCCATCTGGAGCGCACGCACGCACGCGAGCGTTAGACGCACGCACGCTCGCACGGCAACTAAGAGGGAAACGCGCGCACACACGGACACGCGCGCACAGTTCTATCAAACTCACGGGGTGTCGTGGAACTGACGACGTGGGTAGAGCCCTTGAAACATATATATGTATTTTTAAATTCAACAGTGTGCAAAGCAATGTCGCCCTATCGTTAGCTGCGTATTCACGCTGCGCTGAAAAGTCACACGCAAGTGCAGCCCCAGTTGAGTCCCGTACTGTACAGTAACCACTCTACGGTACATTACTGCTCCCACCACATCTCGCGACCAAGCTTAACATTTTTACTTGTTGAAGGTATTTTTAAACAAATTATAATATTTTGTGCTGTGATAAAAGACACGTTAATAAGAAACTCAAAATATAATTATCCCGGGATTGAGGAAATGCTGTCAAATATGGGCGTACGAGCACAGGTCCATGATATGAGTGTGTGTGTGAGCGGAAGTGGAGTGGTTGGCTCACTGCTCGAAAAACCCAGCGGCCCGAGTTCAATTCCCTCTCACGACCCAAGACAGTGGCGAATATTGAACCAACCCCGGGCCTCGCCTAGGTTGACTCAGCCTTAAATATGAATACCTGGTGCGGGTGTGTAAACATCACCACTGGGGAGACAAAGGCGGCTGGCAATGGTGTTAGCCACCAAACCCCTCGTGTGCCTTTGCTGGCCTTCATAGGTGCTCGCTAACAGTCTGTTAAAGGCTATGGGGGGGGGGGGGGATCTTTGTGTTTGTCATTGTCTGAAGCGAGCAGAACTCACCTCCAAAGCGCACATTCCAAACGAGTAGATATCCACTGCCGTAGTCATGCCAGCCAGGTCTGCAACAACAACAACAACGGCCGGCAACAGCGAAAAGTGAGATATCAGAATATTTATTCATAATGGAGGAATTCGATGAGCTACTAAGCCCTTTTTAACAGATGTCCAGTGGATAGCGAGGGTGCACAGGGAAATTAGTGGATGCGGGGCACTGAAGGAATGCACATGGGGGGGGTTGGGGGGGGGGGGCTGGGGAGGTGTGGAGCTAAGGGTCTGCAGTGTTGGGGCCAGCAGCGAGTAGATACCTGCGTACTCTGGCGCCAGGAAGTGCAGATCCTTCTGCTCGGCGCGGAAGGTCTTCACGTGGTCGTTTATAGCGCCGGGGGCGACTGCGGGGCACAAAAACCGCACAGCGCCCGCGTTGAGACGTCTAAGCCTAACCGTCGCACTCCACACTTGCGCGTGTCCTCCACGTGCACACACAAGCACCTCCGATTAGCACGGATGGCTACGTTTGGTGCGAAAGAAATTCAACATATATACATATACACTGCCGCTTCGTCATGCCACTGCTGGGTGAGAGCCTCCCCAACAACCATGTGGGTCGTGGGAGTGTACAAGTACAGCACAACAATGGATTTTGTGCACTGCCCTCTTCTGGTGGCGGGATGTTATCTCCCACACCTGGTATGCAGGAAGCTGTAGGTTCGATCCTGACCCTGACACCTGTATATTATATTTGGAGTTCGGATGATCTCCCCGTGGTCACAAAGCCTTTCTCCGGGTCCTCCGGTTTTGCCGCCACGTTTAGAAACATGCGTTTAGATGATTTGGCTTCTATAAATTCTCACATATGATGATATAAGCCACTTCAATGAGCTATCGTGTGTGACCAGGTCACCTCTGAAAAAGAGGAAATAGCTCAGCAATCGTCACCTGGTGAAAACAGTAGATATAACAAAAACTAGAGTTTAACAGTTTCTACTAAGCACCACGTAGCTCACAGACTTGCAGGTGGCCATGATGCGTTTCATTCATAGTAGTGGTCTATCGAAACTATCCAGGCTCAAACCTGTTCGGTGTGTAAAATGTTGCAAGAGTTCAGGCCTAATCCGGGTGATTTTCTTGCAGGCTTTCACTCAAACTTATAAACCAATATAAAAAAACAGCTCCGACCCTGTAGCTTCACACCGAGGTTTTGAACCTAATTAATGGAAAGAGATTTACAAATCAGGGTCAGACGCTCTGTTAAAACACTAGTGACATCGCTGCCTTGATGTATTGACACGTATAGGGGAGTGCCTTTATAGTTACACCAACATTCGGGTGCCATACTGTATGTACATAAAACTTCTTCCGCACCGTACGTAGCCAACCGTGCTAATCGGAGGTGCAGAAAGGAAGTTAAAAGTCGATTCTTACAGTCGTGGTACTTGCAAAGAGCCATGTATCTCGTAGCCAATTATTTGCTGACACAACCAAATACCAAAGTGTGTTCCTAATTGACAGTTCGGCTTACGTCTTCTCTTCATTTGGTACCATTCTCAGACGAGGATTGGTCATAAAACACACACACAACAGGAATCACTTCTAGAGAGAGCAGCCACCTACACACACCACCACCACCACCACCACTCCACCCCGCCTCACCGGAGCCAATCTTGATCAGGCCGTTGTGCTGCATGAAGATGGTTTCGCACGTGAGGTTCGCGTGGATGATGGGCGGCACAAACGAGTGCAAGTACCTGGATGGGCCCAGTGCGTACAGTCACACACCACTCGGACACCTAAGCGTAAATCAACCTCTGGAGCAAATACATTTTTTTTTAGTCCTTAATTCTTGATTCGTCCTTTCCGCGCGGTTTCTTCCCGATTGCGCATGCTATCGGGTGTCCACGTCATCGGAAGCAGAATCACTTGGGATTTCTCAAGAGCCCACGAGATCCTTCGTCTTAGAGAATGGCCCATGGAAGTGGCTATCACAGTTACCTCCGATATCCCTTTAAGTGAGCTCTACGCCATACAGTAGGGAGCTGCACATTCCCAACCGCCGGGTAACTGAGAGTAGTTTGTCACAAACAATTAAATTGATATATTTTTTATTTATTCTCGAAACTGGAATTTGAAGCTGATTTAACGTGATCGTTTTTTTTGTTCTCTGCCGTCATTGGTGACTACGCTGAGCCCAGCAACTCACGAGACTCGAGTACCCGGTTTAATCGTGGCCAGTTGCTCGAATCAAAACAACCCGTGACCTCGGCAGCGTCGGCTGAACACTTTTGACCTCTGGGCCACTCTTGACCACCACTCTGTAGCAGGTTTAGGAGCGCAAGTGAAACATTTGGTGGTAAACGTGAATGAAAGCAGCAAAAAATTGCAAACGTGTCGCTACCCGAGAGCGGAGAGGATCTGCGTGCACCAGCGCTTCCAGGCCTGAACACACATGGGGGGGGGGGGAGGTGGGGGAGGTGGCGTGCACACAAAGGGGGCAAGGGCACGCAAGCAAGTGGCCCGGTTAGAGCGACGCAGCCCGCAGCCTCACTGCAATAGCACACTCGCCGTGCTCTCCCACACCGCTTGCGTCTGACAGCGTTCACCTCTCACATAAACGAAAAACAAACATCCCCCGTGTCGCCTTTAACAGATTGTTCGGGCAAGTGCTGTTTGCGAGCACCTACGAAGGCCGGCACGGCGCACGAGGGGGAGGTCTGGCTAGCACCACGCCCGACCGCCTTTATCTCCTGCGTGGCGATATTTAGACACCGCATCAGGTACTAATTTAAGGCTGAGTCGACCAAGCGAGGCCCAGGACCGGTTCACACACACATATATATACCGTTTACTTCTCCAACTGTACGCACTTCTCAAACACCAGCACACACTTCACTCCCAAACACCGATCACCACTACACACTCCACTCACCTCTTGAAGAAATGCTACCCACCCTTCACCATTTACCTCACGTACTTTTCACACTGCCTATCTCTCACACTGCTCACTTATAACACACACACAATACTCACCCCAAACATCGTTCACCCAATTGCACAACGCTCACCCCGCACTGCTCACTTCTCTCACCACCCGCCTCCCACACACTACTAACCTCACACACACCCCTCTCCCACACACACACACCCCTCTCCCACACACACCCCTCTCACACACCTCACAGACACACCTCACACACACACCTCTCACACACACACACCGCTCTCACACACACACACCGCTCTCACACACACACATCCCTCTCCCACACACACACACATCCCTCTCACACACCTCACACAGACACACCTCACACAGACACACCTCACACACACACACCTCTCACACACACACACTGCTCTCACACACACCCCTCACACACCTCTCTCACACACACACACACACCCCTCTCCCACACACACCCCTCTCACACACCTCACACAGACACACCTCACACACACACCTCTCACACACACACACACACCGCTCTCACACACACCACTCTCACACACACACACACCCCTCACACACCTCTCTCACACACACACAGCGCACCTTCTCGTTCATGGTCTTGTGGTTCTTCTTGGTCTTCTTGAGGAACTGCTTGAGGCTGCCCGAGGACATGTACTCAGTGATGAAGATCACCTGTCACAGAGAGGACACCATCACGTCAGGGAGTGTGCTGCGAGGAGCCTCGTGACCGCGCACCCCCGTGTGCCGTGCATCCTTGCACGCATCTACAACCACCGGACCTGGGGCCAATTACAAGTGGAAATGTGTCGTCCATAAACACTCTCAACCACCCACGCATCTAAATCGGCTCAAGCCACCCGTAAATCAAGTGACTTCCATCTTCACGAAGTGATCCAGGAAGTCAGAATGAAAATCCAGGAAGTCAGAATAAATACGTGTTACTTGCATTCGAACTGTGCCTTATGCGAGGGCTGCTTAACATTCAGCTTCCGCTGTACAGTTGATCCCGGGTCTGTCCACAACACTTGCTCACAACGGTGCCAAGTCATGGGCTATGCGCACCCGTGCTTTGCTCTCCTTGATGTCAGCCCAGTAGTTGTGGAACTTGACGATGTTGGCGTGCTCCAGATGGATGAGGTTATTAAACACCGTCTTGATCTTCTCCTGTGGAGGAGATGGAGTAAGGGTTAGGGGTGTGTTTGTGTGTGTTTGGGTCGGAGGGGTCATCAGAATTTTAATGGTTAGCGCATTGCGCGACGGACCCAGCGACCCGAGTGCTTGCTCGCAACCAATATCGATGACGAATATCTGAACCGGTCCCTGGCCTCCTTCCCCAGGTCGACTCAGCCGTAAATGAGCGTCCGGTGAGGTGTGTAAACATCAGCTAGAGGAGACAAAGGCAGGCTCGGGGCGTGGTGCTGGACACTCACCTCCTCGTGTGCCATGCCGGCCTTCACAAGTGCTATTCACTAACAGCCTCTTGCCCCCAACAGTCTGTCAAAGCTACGTGGGGGTTCTTTGCCATTGAGCAGCGCATTGATCATTGCTGTGCAGACTCAGCTCAGACTCGCATCACGTCCGTGTTCGTGAACTTCGTCAACACCCCCCAGCAGAGCCATCCCTAGGGTACGGCAAATAGGGGGCGACCGCCCCGGGCCCCACGCTTTGGGGAGGGGGGGCCCTGCGTTTCGACGTCACGCAAATCAGATGGAATACTCCTGGTTTAGTTTGAAGGCACGGGGGGGGTGGGGGAGGGCCCACACAGCACGAGTTGCCCCGGGCTCCGCACCCATCCCCAACCAGGGCTCGTGGCTTCACAGCTTTGCCGCATAAATCAGCTGCCAGAGGGCAGGCAGGGGAAGCAGGGACCGACAGCATCGGCGACGCTAACGGTCAAGGCTTAATTTCTCAAATAATTTATTTGTTTCGGGTCGCTGGTAAACTGGAGTAGAAGGCACGTGCTGGCTATGAGCCCCACAGCCTGAGCGCGAAATGTACTGGATGTGGTGTGCCGGGTGAAATAAATATATTCCGGGTCGCCGGCCCAGGCAGACAGATAAACGCTGACTATTTGAGTCTGGCTGACAGCCACGATTGTTATCCAGGGCCGCAACAAGAGTGACGATTTAAACTCCCGAAGAATCCCGCCACAGTAGGGAATGGAGACCTGCATGTTGGCCCTGGGTCTAAGTGAGTGACTTACTTAAGCGTATGTTTGAGTGAGTGAGTCGCTTCCGACTGGATGAGTGAGTTGTGTCTGGGTGAGTGGGCGACTTGTGTCTGGGTGAGTGAGTGAGCGACTTGTGTCTGGGTGGGTGAGTGAGCGACTTGTGTCTGGGCGAGTGAGTGAGCGACTTGTGTCTGGGTGAGTGAGTGAGCGACTTGTGTCTTGGTGAGTGAGTGAGCGACTTGTGTCTGGGCGAGTTAGCGACTTGTGTCTGGGTGAGTGAGCGACTTGTGCCTTGGTGAGTGAGTGAGCGACTTGTGTCTGGGCGAGTGAGCGACTTGTGTCTGGGTGAGTGAGCGACTTGTGTCTGGGTGAGTGAGTGAGCGACTTGTGTCTGGGCGAGTGAGTGAGCGACTTGTGTCTGGGTGAATGAGCAACTTGTGTCTGGGTGAGTGAGTGAGCGACTTGTGTCTGGGCGAGTGAGCGACTTGTGTCTGGGTGAGTGAGTGAGCGACTTGTGTCTGGGCAAGTGAGCGACTTGTGTCTGGGTGAGTGGGCGACTTGTGTCTGGGTGAGTGGGCGACTTGTGTCTGGGTGAGTGAGCGACTTGTGTCTGGGTGAGTGGGCGACTTGTGTCTGGGTGAGTGAGTGACTTGTGTCTGGGCGAGTGAGTGACTTGTGTCTGGGTGAGTGAGTGAGCGACTTGTGTCTGGGTGAGTGGGCGACTTGTGTCTGGGTGAGTGAGTGAGCGACTTGTGTCTGGGTGAGTGAGCGACTTGTGTCTGGGTGAGTGGGCGACTTGTGTCTGGGCGAGTGAGCGACTTGTGTCTGGGTGAGTGAGAGACTTGTGTCTGAGTGAGTGACTTGTGTCTGAGTGAGTGAGCGACTTGTGTCTGGGTGAGTGGGCGACTTGTGTCTGGGTGAGTGAGCGACTTGTGTCTGGGCGAGTGAGCGACTTGTGTCTGGGTGAGTGGGCGACTTGTGTCTGGGTGAGTGACTTGTGTCTGGGTGATTGAGCGACTTGTGTCTGGGTGAGTGGGCGACTTGTGTCTAGGTGAGTGAGCGACTTGTGTCTGGGCGAGTGAGCGACTTGTGTCTGGGCGAGTGAGCGACTTGTGTCTGGGTGAGTGAGCGACTTGTGTCTGGGTGAGTGAGCGACTTGTGTCTGGGTGGGTGAGCAACTTGTGTCTGGGTGAGTGAGTGAGCGACTTGTGTCTTGGTGAATGAGCAACTTGTGTCTGGGTGAGTGGGCGACTTGTGTCTGGGTGAGTGAGCGACTTGTGTCTGAGTGAGTGAGCGACTTGTGTCTGGGTGAGTGAGCGACTTGTGTCTGGATGAGTGAGTGACTTGTGTCTGGGTGAGTGGGCGACTTCTGTCTGGGTGAGTGGGCGACTTGTGTCTGGGTGAGTGAGTGACTTGTGTCTGGGTGATTGAGCGACTTGTGTCTGGGTGAGTGGGCGACTTGTGTCTAGGTGAGTGGGAGACTTCTGTCTGGGTGAGTGAGATTACAGTGCCCTGTGTCTGCTGGGTAAAAGATCACCCCCCTCAACCTCCCCCCACCACCCCCTCACCAGACCCTCACCAGACCCCCACCAGCCCCTCACCACCCCCCACCACCCCCTCACCAGCCCCTCACCACCCCCTCACTCACCTCCTGCGCCTTGTAGTTGCGTCTCTCGGAGAACTGCACCTCGTTCCAGACGACCTCAACTCCCTCCTCCGTGTCCATGCCCAGGTAGGCGCTGTCGATACCGGGCACATTGCGCTGGCTCACCTGGTGAGGGAGGTGAGCGAGAGAGGTGAGCGAGGGGGGTGAGCGAGGGGGTTGAGCGAGGGGGGTGAGCGAGGGGGTTGAGCGAGGGGGGTGAGCGAGGGGGGTGAGCGAGGGGGTGAGCGAGGGGGTTGAGCGAGGGGGGTCAGCGAGGGAGTGAGCGAGGGGGGCGAGCGGCGTCACTGTTCAAGCGACCTCCGTCTCGAGAGCGGCTGCCCCCGCCTGTCCCGGGTCCCGAGGCCACCCCAAACTGCCCACCTCCTCGCGCCGCTTCTGCCAACGGCCACAGGGGCTCTCCTCGAGGATCTCGCTGTCGTCCTCCTCGCTCTCCTCGTCCTCCTCCTCCGCCTTCTCCTGCTTCTCCGTGTCCGCCGACATCGCCGCCTGCCTATTCCTGTGCCTGGACCGACCGCCCGTGCGTGCCGTACGTGGGGGCGGGGCGAGTGCTGGCGTGACGTCAGCGCGCACGGGCGGGCTACCGTACGTCAAGACGCACGGATGGAGATGTCATCGCGTAGGGCGGGTGAGGCGACGCGATGACGTACGTGCGCAGCCGGGAGTATTGGACGCCGTCCACGCAACGGCGTGACGTCACCGCGCAGGACGTTGCGGCGAAGCGATGACGTCGGCGCGCAGGTCGGATTCCGATGGCGAGGGGCACAGATGTGGACGTCATCGCGTAGGGCGGGTGCGGCGACGCGATGACGTCGGCGCGCACGGTCGAGTGTAACCGGAATTATTGGACGCTGCTCGCGACACCACGCAACGGCGTGACGTCAGTCACCGCGCAGGACGTTTGTGGAGACGCGATGACGTCGGCGCGCAGGGCGGATTCCTACGTCGAGGGGCACGGATGTGGACGTCATTGCGGAGGGCGGTGCGGCGACGCGATGACGTCGTCACGCAGGTCGTAACGGCAGAGCGCGGTGAACGTCAGGCGCACAACGCCACGACGTCACCGCGCAGAGGTTGTTAGTGACGCAGTGACGTCACGACGCAGGGCGTGACAGCAGCGCGTAGACGTCATGCGCGCGTTGTGACGTGCCGCGGCAGCCGCAGAGAATCGTACTTTTTTTTTTACTAATTTTACATCATGCACGTACGCGAAGAGATGATGCATTTATGCAGGCCGAAAATGGAACGTGCATTGTTATGATCATGTTTTATGACGTCCTGTGCAATGCGCGTGACGTCACGACGCGCCAGATGTACGTAGTGACGTAAGCGCGCTGCACTGACGTGACGCGTTACCACGTCGTCACTCTGCACGTGGTGCTAACGTGGGGTTAGAGAGGGAGATGGCGCCAATGCCATGAGCACAGAAAACATGCAACGTGGGGCCAACGTTGGCATGTGGTTTGAACCGTTGGACCAACCCTGGCCCAATGTTGGCTCAGCGTTGCATTTTGACTTAAAAATTTCGTGACTGCAGGAATTAAATTAAATAATACATTAAAAGCAAAAAAACCCCACGACGTTTCAATTGCAACACAAGAGGTCTTCATCAGGCGAAAAGAGGGGGCAAGCCTCCAAATGCAACTGCTTATAATGCAGTTGCATTTGGAGGCTTGCCCCCTCTTTTCTCAGTGTTGCATGTTTACTGGGAGAGCGGCGGTGGAGAACCAACTACCCACTAGCCTAACACGGCACGAAGACTTATTTAATAGGTTCACCATCACATGCAGCCAAGCACTCAAACAGCCCACAAACGATATGTATCCGTCACTGCTACCTGTGAGATCTTCACTCACAACTGCTCTAGAGGAGCTGTACACCCATAGCTGCCACTGCTATTCAGTGGCCTGAAATCAAATGTATCGCTCCGGATGACCGCTGCAAAGTATAATCTTGAGTTTTTATTATAGTGTGCTGATGTTTAAAGGTGCATTGAAAAATGTTGATACTGCTACTAAGACTCCTGCTGTTATGGAGTGACTCATGCTGCCAGCTATGGCTGCAAAGTTTGGTCGTACATGTTATGTATATCGTTTATTGTTAAATTTGAATCAGTCCCTATGATCACTTACATTGCTTTTATAGCTTTATTTTGGTGATTTCGAAAACGTTTGGCTTAGCCATGTTTGTTGAAGTACAGAGTTAGCCTGATAACTTTAATCTAAATTGTCTTATGGTTATTGTTCGACTTGCATCCCACTGGGATTTTTGCACACAGCGTTGATATACGGTGCTTTTATCTGGAAGATTTAACTGTTTTTCATTGATTTTTCTGTTGCGCGTGATCATTTTAAGATGTTCTTTGTTCATGTTTTTGTTTGTTGCGGTTGCACCCGAGTCAAGAGCCGCATGGCTCACAGGGTTATACCTAATAAATGAAACTGAAACTGCATCTTAGCTACACTAATCGCGTACTAGAGGGGTATGTTTGCGACCTTGCAACACAGCTTCTAATTTTAGGACATCTTGCAGTCGCTTAAGTGTGCCAAAGATTTGAAATCCTATTTAGTCGTCGGTAAGTAAAACTAAACTTTTATTTTACCAGGTAAGGCCCGCTGAGCTATCTATTTTTCAGAAGCGACCTGGCCACAAATGATAGCTCAGCGAAGTGGATTACGTGGAAATATATAGCAGTCAAATATTATAAACGCACGTTTATAAATATGGAGGGAAAAAACGGAGGACCCGGAGAAAAATCCACGCTACCACGAACAAAACATGCAAATTCCAAATATACAGCAGGCGTCAGGGTCGCGATCGAACTGACGACCTCCTGCATACCAGGCAAGGGAGTTAACATCTCGCCACCGTGGCGCACTGCCCACCACGTAACCCCACAGCCCAATGACCACTTGTTTGTATCCCATCCACAAAGGCACTCACCAGGCTCGCCACTGCTTGGCTTCGGAGATGTGATTAGCATAGGTTTTTGCGGACATGCTGGATATCTCTCTCATGTTTTACCGAGCGAAGTTTGGCGCGATGCTCAGACGTTTCGCTCAACGTGCTGCTAATTTTTGCTCAGAAATGTAAACTTTTTTTTTCAGGAACGACAGGTGGGTGCAACCCGAAAACACATTGGACAACTATAGATAATAGTTCCACATTGAAACTGAACCAATCCTTCAATGTTTTTTTTCAGTTACTAAAGCGGATGTATAATTTTCTATATAACAAGCGTGGTGTCAAATGTGTCAATGCATGGGTGGTGTCTACTCTCAAGGAGATGATTTCATCAAATCACAGTTATATGAACGTGACTTAAGTGCAGAATTGAATAACATGGGCGACTGCGATGGCAGTCAAACAGGATAAAATCTTGCCAGTTTGCCTAACGCTGATCCTTACAAGTGTAGTGACATAGAATCGGTCACTTAGCAGCATAGCGCTGGTTGCTGACATGTAAGGGGATTTGCAGCTACAGCAGCCCCAACTGGTCACGTGATAGACTAGAGAGGGACGTAGTGGAAAGGTTACGGAAGGGGCACATCGATTACCCGCTAGTACATTCCAGAAGGGGGGCGTGGCCGGGGTGGAGCCAGGCCACGCTGACAGTATAAGAGGGGCCCCGGGAGGGGACCTCGGGGCTGTCGTTTGGAGTGGGATCCCCGTCGTGCTGCTGGAGTCTTCACCGCCGTCTCCATCTTCACCATCTCGGGGTCGCCAGTCAGGCAGTCTACCAGCTGTCCTGACTGGGAACCGTAGTTACAAAGTGTGAACTCTTCTTTGATTCTTTCGGTAAAGTCACGTAGAATGAGAATAAAATAATAAATTGATAAAATAAAATAACACAATAATATTCTCACGACGTTTCGGCCACAGAATATTATTGTTATTTTATTTTATCAATTTATTATTTTATTCTCATTCTACGTGACTTTACCGATATAACCAAAGAAGATGAATCCTTGCAGTCACGAAAGCTTTAAATCGAAAAGTGTGAACTGTTAAGGCCGTTAATAAACATAGTGCCTCCTACTCAGTCACTACACAAGTACATCGGCTTGACGTTTCAGGTGATATTCTTAGCTCTTTCGGTAAAGTCACGTTGAAGGGAAACAATAAAATAATATATATAAAACATGACAGAGGTTCTTTGTAAGCCATCTGGCTACCATGAGAGATTCGTTCATGAGGCTATCCACATATACAAGCACAGAGACAATTTCAACCGAGAAGATGGATTCTGGCTTAGCAATCATTGGAAAGATTTGATTAACCATTTCAGGTCTTAATTGATTGTTCACGCTTACAGTGGCTTTCAGACAGCATACATTAATTTTTTCGTCTCCCCCCTCCTCTTTTCAGAACATAGATGGACTCGTCCTTCTAAATAAACTGCCAAATCGCTGCGCGTGGCGCTGACGTTTTTTATAAATAAATACACCGTTTAAAAATAAATTAATTAATGCAAACCGACACACCTGATGACGACCGTTTGTGTTATGGTCGAAACGTCGTGAGAATTTTTATTCTTTTATATATATTTTATTATTTTATTGTTTCCCTTCAACGTGACTTTACCGAAAGAGCTAAGAATATGAATTACTGCAGTCACGAAAGCTTTAAATCAAAGTTTCAGGTGATGTCCCTTCTTCAGCGCAGCTATATTGACTGAATTACGGTTAGAGCTCACACTGTTCCGCCGAGTTGTCTGAAAAACGCTTAAGTTGACGTGTGGACGCTGTTGAAATAACATGAGCAGTCGCGTTTATTTGTTTATTATTTATTTTGACCACAATACAATCGTTTCATTCAAGGTTAAAATTACACAATTGTTTCCACATAAATTCTTGTGAAATAATCCCGGCACAAGACACTTGGGAGTCACTTAAATTCGCAGGGTCACTTATTGAAATGCAATCATTGGGACATGAAAAGTGAAATTATCGTATTTCCCAACAGCACGCCGATGAAAAAACCAAAACGGACAAACCTTTCCATCCAGGGGCGGAGCCAGGGGGGGTGACAGGGGTGGCATTCTGCGTATAAGTGTACGACACTCGGTCTGGCGGACTCCGTGCAACTGCATTGTCAGAGTGTGTCACCAACCGATGGCGTCTAGTTCAACAGCCTGACTCTCTAATCATTCTTGAAATTAACATTTGTTGAATGTCACCCCGGCCTGAAATCCTGGCTCCGCCCCTGTTTCCAACGCTACCGATTTAACCGATAGGCTGCCCATTTAAAAAACATACTTTTACTGCACACCGATTTTCAAGATATACCATTTCTTTTAAATATTTCATTTATATATATGCCTAATGTTTGTTTTCAAACTTGGTACGTGGGTCAAATTTGCAGCCTGCCGCTTACGTCATCGGTAGGGTAGGGCAATCGAGTGTCAACATGGTCGGTCAGGGCAATGAGCTGTAGGGGGGGAAAAAAACGCACAGATGAATTCTCCGACATCAAACATCAACACTAGTCACGAAGACGACCCTGACATGGAACGCACAAGACAATAACTAAGCCAATTTATTACAACACACCTACAGCAGCAGCCGCAGCAGCACAGCAATACAGTGTTAATCATTACAGACAGTGAGCCCACTGTGACGGAATGTTGGGCTTTGGGTACAGGGGTTGTGCTGCTGATTCGGGGATGGGGGGCAGGAGTAGGAGTGTTCTACAGGAGGCATGCTGCTTAGAAGGGTTGGTCGCGATATCATTTTTCACAACAAGGTTTTTTGACAATACGGTTCATGATATGACAATTATGGTATTGTCAGTTTTCCCGAAACTTTGCAATTGTATGTCCGCAATGCAATTGTACTGTTGTCGTGCTTTGCTGTACTTGGCAGTACAAAGAAAAGATTACGTAAAAGTTCGTCAACTGTAGTTCGCTCAACTGTAAGCCTACCAGAAAGTCAGTCATATAATCATTGCAACTTTACAATCCGTAATGCTGAAAACGCACATGCTGTCAGTCACACAATAATTAAGTGATTAGAAACAATGCGTCATGTAATTGCCTGGCCGTTAATTTACTCCTATAAAAAAACTTTGCAAAGCACCAATTTAACGGACAACAGCAATTCGTTTCGAACTTGAATCATCACGTCAATTACTTAATAAATATTTTTTTTACAAAATTAAACTATGAAGAATCAGCAATAGTCACGATATTACGACAATATGCAAAACAGACTATACAATTATTACGGACCTTGTAGCGTCTTACGGAACACCGTAGTGTCCCATCACGGCAACCCTACTGTCAAGCGATAGTGACATGCTTTCTGAATCCGCCTGAAATGGACATGGAGGGGGGGGGGGTTTCTGCTCCTATAGGGAGGGAATGCGCAGTAAGGAGCAGTCTCAGCACTATACGTGTGGCTGCAGGAGCCACGGGGGAGCGGAGGAGTGGGAGGGGGGAAGAGGCTTGAGACGCAGGGCGGGGCTCACTGCAGTGACGAGGGAGGAGGCTGAGGGATTCACTTGTAGTCGAGCAGGTTGAGGTCCAGCTTGTAGTACACGTATGGGTAGTACTCCTGCTGACTCAGGTTCAGCCCAGGGATGTCCATACTCGCCTGTGGAGTGAACAATAGGGTTGAGGGCATTAAATTCAGTCGTGAACAATTCTCAAGCCACCGGTGAGGAGCTGGTCAGACTACGGTCAATACATTTGCATGTATAAATGATGCATTTGCAAACAAGACCATTTTGTTAGGTGGTGGAGGGTTGAACATGTTTCGTGCTGCGCTACGAACCCGGTGACCCGAGTTCGATTCCCACTCACGGCACCAAATGGTAGTGACGATTATCCAAACTGGTGCTGGGCCTCTCCTAGTGCGATTCAACCTCAAATGGGTACCTGGTGCGGTGTGTCAACATCGCCACTAGGGAGACAAAGGTGGCCGGGCGTGGAGCTAGCCGCATCACCCCGTCGTGTGCCATTCCAGCCTTCATAGGTGCTCACTAATAGCACTTGCCCCAACAATCTGTTAAGGCTACGGGGGGGGGGGGGGAGATATTTGTCTTTGTCCACAAAAGGTATTCGAAAGTCCTATTCTGCCCTCGGTAAGGAAAGGGTTCCCCCAGCCCTGATGTGACCCCGTGGTTACATCGATGATGGCGGCGGCGCTGCTGTCGAGGTGCTTGTAAAGTCCATTGAGCACTTCCCGCAGCTTGCGAACCATCTTCTTGTTGGGATGCAGCAGCATGGCCTGGAAGTTCACTGGGAGTCCATACCTGCACACGGCAACAAGGCATTCATGGGCACCCGATGAGAATGCTTTACATATTAACCGCTGGCTAAGTCGCATACAGTAACAAGTACGTCCTGCTTGAACCTGTGCTCCAAATAAGGGTTAGGATCTTTATAGTAATTTAACCAATGATTTTGACAAGTAAAACATTATTTTTAGGAGGTAATATGAATCATTACCCAGAAGTGATGTGCATTTTTTACATGGTTTACATTGACTACATCCTTATGTTTTCACTGCAATGTTATTTTCAACTACTGCACAAAAATCGCGAATTAATAACATTTCATGATTTTTCATCTGCCAGAAACATCATCATTGGACCGCTCACCGCAGATCCTGCATGGTGCATCACGGCACTGACCAACAACATCTTGTGCTCCAGAAGCCATCCATGTTCCATCGGATTAATCCATCGCCAAACTGCGACACGGGCAACGACTCGGCAGGGACTGCAGCCGCTGCTACGATGGCTCGTGTGCGCGCGTAATGCGACGCGCGTCTTGCCGAGTGCATTGGCTAGGAGATGGGGGGTGGGCCGCCGGGGGGGGGGGGAGGAGTACCGGAGCACAGACTCCACGAACACCCGCAGCGCCTTCACGTGCGTCCACGCGATGAACGCCTCCGAGAAGTTCACCTTGAGCCACCTCACCAAGGGACCCTGAATCGCACGTGAACACGCACGTGAACACGCGCGTGAACGCACATGCGTGAACACACCCATTAAACAAGAACTGAATTTACTTACGTGAACGACTCCCATCGTTTTTGAACTGAATGTGTGTGGGAAGGGAGTGTGGGGCTGTCATGCATACGAGTGGTCTGGTATTGTGCCACCAAACCCTTTGTGCGCCGTGTCTGCTTTAAAAAGGTGCTCGTTAACAGCACTTGCCTCAACAGTCTGTTAAAGGCTATATGGGGGATCTTTGCGATTGTATGTACATATGTACAACTCCTTTCGCTAATCAGAGGTGCGATTATCACGGTTGGTGGTATCGTAGTTAGTGTACTGTGCTATAAACCCAGCGAGCCAAGTTTGCTTCCCAGCCACGGCCAGCACAAGTGGCACACCTCCAAACTGGTAATGATTCTGGGCCTCCTCTAGGTCGACTCAACCTTCAATGAGTACCTGGTGTAGTGTGTACACATCTGCACTGGGGAGACTAAACCTACCAGATGTGTTGTTGGCCACACCAACCCCCCCTTGTGCACTTCGCCAGCCTGCATAGGTGCTCACTAACAGCACTTGCCCCAACAGTCTGTTAAGGCTACAAGGGGGGGGGGATCTTTGTGTTGTATTATCTGTGGGTGCACACGAGCATACAAACTGCTTTTTCTTGTCGGAGGCGAGGCGCGTGATCTCCTCCTTGTCGGCTGCCAGCTCCACCTCGTTGTACTGGAACTCCCGCACGGTGAACCTGGGTCCCCGTGTCCCAGCGCGAGCCGACAGGGAAAGACAGGGCGGGCGTCAAAAAGAGCCTCAAAAAACCACGACACGTACCGACATATGCAAGACCCAACATTAATATTACTCCCATCAGAACTACGGGTAGTATCATAACACAAGACCGGCTAAAGAAAAGTGTTAAGAATAAAAATAAATGTGCATATAATAATAGGTTTTTTCCCCTTTTTTCTGCCAACAAAACTGAAACCGTTTTACAAGGAATCATGTTTACATTAACCACAAAACCTGTGGTCAGAATGCAAACAAAAACACACTCTGATCATTTATGTATTGTCCTTGAAACTGATTGGTCCACACCAGAGACAGCTTTCCTTAGAACCTGGTCTCATACGGTGTTTGACCAGATGATGCCAAAAGGCGCACAGCTCAAAGACAACGCATTATCAGAGTAATGAGGGCTCGGGGTAAGCATCTACATCATGAGGCCTCCCTTTGCCAGTACCAAAATATAATAATAGGTTTTTTCCCCTTTTTTCTGGCAACAAAACTGAACACTCTCCAGCATGCAAATGTCCTTGGAAATGTTAATCAGCGATAATAACGTTACCTTGTGAGCCAGACAATGAAATGACATCACATGGTGCATGGCGTAATGACCTTGGCTGAAAAGGCTTATCCATGTTATTGTTATTTTGGCCAGCCCTTTCATCAATTCGGTCAGTTTTTTCATCGGGTAATTCCCCAACAGCAACAAAGCTTTGTACACGAATTTAATTTATACTGCATCCTCTTCACGATAGTTTATCATGCACCCATACTACAGATAGTACAGAAGGACAGACTGACGGACAGGGCTATTCTTTTAACGCTTTCAACCGTAGTTCAAAGACTTTAAAAAGATTGTTTAAAGAGGCAAAACAAATCCACAATGTTCTCACTTGCTTTCACGCGCCTTGTGCTTGAAGTCATCGACAGCTTTCTGGAACAGGGTGACCGTGAACATACCACCCTCTTGGTCTTCCACGATCAACCTAGGCAGCAGCAGCAACACACGGTACTCACATTACACTTACCAGACAGCAGCCCACTATACTCACTGGAGGACCTTCATTAAAAGAAAACTTGGGATTGAATACTGTGCTCTAAAGGCCCTGCTATTTTAGAGCCAAGGGCACCCACAGTGGCAGTTGTCCCTATGCGGCACAAGTTGGATGCAGCACTTGCCTGTAAATGTGCATTAGTCTACTAGCGGGTTTTTTTCCTAAGCAAGTAATTTCGTAATTTTGTAAAATTTGGACCAAAACTCTGGTACACAAGGCATACTTTTTACACCAATTTCACGGGAACTGTCATGTTCACTGTGAAGCAAATGGTGCGTATCTATGGTGAATACACTACTGAGTATTACCCAGTGGCCACTCGGCTCAAACGTCAACCTACGCAATAAGCAGCAAAACGCGCTGCCGTGTGGCCATGTTACCACCCCGAACGTCTTTTCGAACTTCTTTAGCTGACCTCGGAGGTGAGCGCACCGCTGCAACAACGAAGGGAGACTCACTTGGTGGAGCGTGGCACCACCATGTCCGTCAGCGTCTCGTACACTTTGTTCCACTCAGTGTATGCGGCCCTGCGGGTCAACGGTTCGAAATAAAATAGACTTCAGCAAAGGAGGTCCGGTGTTAAAGGGCACAATTGTATGAAGTGATTTGAGATCATTAATAGGCTCAACCAAAAAAAATAACCCCCCAAAAAATCCTCTATTATGGAGGCTCAACACTGGCAAAAACAGACACAATGACGAGATGGTATATGGGTTGTCCGCTCATATAGACTGTTGATTCTTTTCATCATCATCAGCCCTGATCAAATAACAGCTGGGTAAAGGCCGCCCCGAGCCGTTGCCATCTCTCACAGCCCTGCGATGTACTCATCCACCAAACAGCTGCACATGCGCCGATGTCTTCACTCGTTATCTTCGCAGTGGATGTCCTCTCTCGGCTGCCACTCGCGTCGTTAGCCTCGACCAGCAGCAACCGTCCCTTCTAGCAACATGTCCTATCCAAGCCTGCGTACGTTTATTACCAGTTATAACGACGTCTCTAGCTGATGTTTTCTGCTGAATGTGTGTCTCTTTCTGTCCTCTCAATGTAACTCCAAGCACCGCTGAAAGGTTTGCAAAGAAGCATCCAGCAATACATCCCCGCTTGAGAAAGACTCATTATACTCGGCAGATAAAGGCCCACAGAGGCCCAACTCCACCTTTAAGAAAAAGCCTTGCCCTACAGAAGACCTCGTAAACATTGGCCTTGTTGCAAGGCCACAATGAAATATAATTTATTCATGTATGGTGCCGTAACGCACTTGGGCACGATGACGAGCAGGGTGACGAGGTACTCCGAGTCCAAGACAAAGTCCTCCTTACGGACGATGTCAGCCAGGCTACGCGTCATCAGGCTGCCACTGCACCCAGAAGACAAGGACACACAGAGAGCGAGGCTGAAAACATATGACCACCCGCTTCCCACGAGAATCTGATGGAGATGGGGAGCGGCGAGCAGGCGACACGGTGTGTGGGGCCTCACGTGTTCTTCCTCTCAAGACTCTGCAGGCTGCCCTTGAGGTTGTTGTACACGGACGCGCGAGACTTGAGGTCATTGTCAATCTGAGAGACGCCCTGAGAGACGCACGCAACGCAAATGCGCACATGGGCGCGCATAGCACCACAAAGCACAGCGCACAATGAATCACACGCACTTGTGGCATATATACAGGGCTTAATTTTCCAGCTGAGCCTGTCTGGGTTTGGCAACCTATAAAACATATCAACACTCAACACACCACATCCAATTAGCACAGTTGGCTACTTATGGTATGGTGCAAAAGAAGTTAAACATACATACACCATACATATAGTCCACTACGCTACGCTTCACACCGTACCTCTCAAGGCCTACTACAGTTTACCAGTGAGCCAGAACATATCTGATGAAAAATTAAGCCCTGTGTGTATATAGTTATCAAATGCCCCGTTATTCAGGATACAGAAAATGTACATGGTAATGTAGAATAAAAACAGTGTATCAGCAATGTAGCTGGGTTTTTGGAGTACAGTGCTTAGAGTGGAGGTATTAAAAAACCTTTTCCTGAATGAGAGCAGAATACAACTAAAACACACTTTAGCGGGGCCGGAAATTTAACACACACAAGCTCCATAACATTATTAACTAATAACGTGAAACGCACAAATGCAATCCCCGTGCCTGCTTTCCTCATGCATATGCGCGATGCCGATTCCCTGTGAAATATTTCTGCAGCAGCAAGGCATTATGCGGGTACTGCATGCGTTACCTTGGCTATTATGTCGGATATGTTCTTGAGAGATTGCTTGATGGGGTACTTGGCCATGTCCCACTGGAAGCGTGTCACGTAGGTGAAGAGGTCAACTGTGGGAGAATCACGCATTTCACACACATGTGAAGCAGGCACCGAGTGAAGTTCAGTAGATAATGCATAATGCACCTCTTAAATAATGATAACATACTATTTATAACACGCACAATTTTTCGAACAGAAGAAAAAGTTCAAGCACGTCTCGGAGGCACGGTGCTCAGCTCAGACGATAGCTCTCGACGGTACCCAATCGTTTCACCACCACGCAGGAGTTTCTGATCCATCTATATACCCTTGCTTTCAAACCAGTAAGAAATATTACTACTCACGAAAAAGAACACATGCATGTTGAAGACATAATCTTGACTGTTTGGAAAAGTGAGCTGGGACACATCGCCAGAAGGGATGACGACCGATCGTCGACAATAACGACGGAGGAGCGCCACAGGTGCACACAAGAAGAGGTCAACAGTGGAGCGGAGCAATGAAATAAACTCGTGTGCAAATTCTATGTGGATCGTTACGTTGCAGGACAGTAAGAGGCGGGGACGGTTTGGGGAAGGTTTCATACAGCAGTGGATTCACTAGCGGAGCCAGTGGGGGGGGGGGGGGGGGGGGGGGGGGGTGGCGTGGCACGTGCCCCCCCAATGATCCGATTTAAATCCCTAATTTCGATCGGATCATTGGGGTTTATTAGTAGTAATCGGCATTTTGCGACCCCCACTGCCACTGTGTAGCATGAGATGATAGGAAAATTGTCTGAGTCCATAATTGGCAATAAGTAATGGCAAAGCAGTTATAAGTTACTCACAGAATTGTGCACTGTTGCGTATACAGTACACGACTTCCCTGAAGGCATCAACACCTTCAGCGAGCGCGATGCCGATCACACACGGTTCGAACTCGACCCTCAATCGATGGCTGTGCCATCGCCGCACACGCGTCGAATAGAAAGCAAGGGACAAGTCCTTACTTACTAACAACTCCTCTATCATTTTTCATTGCTGGAGGGGTTGCCCCCCCCACCTGAAATTCCTGGCTCCGCCATTGAGTGGATTGATCATGGCTGATGCCGATTCTTAACCCCTAGCCCAGATCTATCCACTAACCCCTATCCCACACCGTTGCTGTTATCTCAACAGCAGCTGTGCTCAGGCGCTATTCGCCAGTAAACTTCCAATCCTCACCTCCGTTGGCGAGGAGGTTTTCCTGCACTTTGTCACGGGAGTCTTCCAGCACCTCGGCCATGTACTGAGCAACCTTCTTTACCACGCTGCACAGGGCCACACACACACACAACACCATCCCTGTCAGTCTATCAACCTTGGGCTGCATACGACCATAACACCTTGAAAGGCCCAATCACTTCAATCTCAGAAGTAGAGATGGCCTCATTAGTAATTAAATTTGAGACTGCCTGGGAATAGGTGTTGTAGGCTTGGGTTGCAAAGTGAAAAGTATATACAAGTACAGTGAATGGATTCATGAATCCATCTGTATAGAACTTGGCGTGTCATCATTTCTGATGCTTGGGTTTTCTCTAGGCACTTTGGTATCCTCTCACGTGAAGTCAAACACTCATTAATGGAATTAGCCAAACATCACAATGTATGCGTACTGTATTTAAAAATATATATAGTAGCGACTTATTAATGCTTTTCTGGGTAAAGGGCATTTATTATCAAGATTATTACGTGCAATACATTGGTGGGAGGTGGCAGTTGGTGCTGAGGTGACTAATGTGAATGTTCATACAGCACACCACAGGCACTGGATGTCACTTTATTATGTAATGAGTGATGAGTGGAGAGTGTGTGTATGCATGGGCGGGCGCCTGTCCACTATGGATAGGTGAAGCGGTTGTATAGTGATTAGCACACTGCAATATGATTGGCGGACATGGCTAACATTACTAGGTCGACTGAACATTAACGGAGTACTGGTGCAATATACACATCAGAAAGAGGAAGATAAAGGTGGTTGACTACCAGGCTACTCTACCCCGTTCGTGCCCTTTTCCGGCGAGCAGCACTTGCCCCAAAAGTCTGTCAAACGCTATACGGGGAGGGGGGGGACGTTTGTCTTTGCCTGTTCACCGACAAACTTACGTTTCCACAAAGGTGTCCAGCTTGGCGAGTTCATCGGAGAGGCCCACCAGAACATCCAGGGTGCCCACCTGCATCACAATGCACGCACTACCGGTCACCAATTCACCAACACCACCTTTGTGCACCGACCACACCATTTACAACCGGCCCACCGCAGCCGTCACCGCTACCCCGGTGGACACCACCCACCTTGAGGTCTGGGATCTGGAACTTAAAGTTGGCCGAGAGGCTGTTGTTGCGTGTGGTCTCGGCATTCAGCTTCTCCCATGTCTGCTGGCACGTCTTGTCGCCCGGGGCCGAAATCAGCCAGAACTCCGACATTCTGCCTGCGAGAGACATGCAGTGGGGGGGGGGGGGGGGATTGGCATCAGGTCATTAGTCGATTAAGTGGACTATAGTGAGAAATGTGTGAGTGGTCGATTACTCGGATTCCTTTGAAAATTACGGGCTGCCTCACACATTCTGCTGTCTTCTGAAGGTGGGAAACCCCTACAGGCCACAACCCAGCGTGCATTGACGTCACCAAGTCCTGCCCATTACCACCCGTCCAGTGGCACATGTCAGAACAGAGCTGATATATTATCTTAAACCCTTTTTGTATTGGTCAGTAATCGGTTGCGATAGTAACACAAATACAGTACGACTCACACAAGGCCTCCGTGAGACTCTCCCAGAGAGACTGTCTCTCTCATCACTTTCAGTGTGTCTCTTTTCTCGCACTCAGACTGTCACCCAGCTCTCAAGAAACTCCCAGCAATCAAGACTGTCACCCAGCTCTCAAGAGACTCTCTCTCCCAGCACTCAGACTGTCACCCAGCTCTCAAGAGACTCCCAGCAATCAAGACTCTGTCACCCAGCTCTCAAGAGACTCCCAGCACTCAGACTGTTACCCAGCTCTCTCAGAGACTCCCAGCACTCAGACTGTCACCCAGCTCTCTCAGAGACTCCCAGCACTCAGACTGTCACCCAGCTCTCAAGAGACTCCCAGCACTCAGACTGTCACCCAGCTCTCAAGAGACTCCCAGCACTCAGACTGTCACCCAGCTCTCAAGAGACTCCCAGCAATCAGACTGTCACCCAGCTCTCAAGAGACCCCCAGCAATCAAGACTCTGCCACCCAGCTCTCAAGAGACTCCCAGCACTCAGACTGTCACCCAGCTCTCAAGAGACTCCCAGCAATCAGACTGTCACCCAGCTCTCTCAGTGACTCCCAGCAACCAGACTGTCACCCAGCTCTCAAGAGACTCCCAGCAATCAGACTGTCACCCAGCTCTCAAGAGACTCCCAGCACTCAGACTGTCACCCAGCTCTCAAGAGACTCCCAGCAATCAGACTGTCACCCAGCTCTCTCAGTGACTCCCAGCAACCAGACTGTCACCCAGCTCTCAAGAGACTCCCAGCAATCAGACTGTCACCCAGCTTTCTCAGAGACTCCCAGCACTCAGACTGTCACCCAGCTCTCAAGAGACTCCCAGCAATCAAGACTCTGTCACCCAGCTTTCAAGAGACTCCCAGCACTCAGACTGTCACCCAGCTCTCAAGTGACTCCCAGCACTCAGACTGTCACCCAGCTCTCTCAGAGACTCCCAGCACTCAGACTGTCACGCAGCTCTCAAGAGACTCCCAGCACTCAGACTGTCACCCAGCTCTCAAGAGACTCCCAGCACTCAGACTGTCACCCAGCTCTCTCAGAGACTCCCAGCACTCAGACTGTCACCCAGCTCTCAAGAGACTCCCAGCACTCAGACTGTCACCCAGCTCTCAAGAGACTCCCAGCACTCAGACTGTCACCCAGCTCTCTCAGAGACTCCCAGCACTCAGACTGTCACCCAGCTCTCAAGAGACTCCCAGCACTCAGACTGTCACCCAGCTCTCTCAGTGACTCTCTCTCCCAGCACTCAGACTGTCACCCAGCTCTCTCAGAGACTCCCAGCACTCAGACTGTCACCCAGCTCTCTCAGAGACTCCCAGCACTCAGACTGTCACCCAGCTCTCAAGAGACTCCCAGCAATCAGACTGTCACCCAGCTCTCTCAGAGACTCCCAGCAATCAGACTGTCACCCAGCTCTCTCAGAGACTCCCAGCACTCAGACTGTCACCCAGCCCTCTCAGTGACTCTCTCTCCCAGCACTCAGACTGTCACCCAGCTCTCTCAGAGACTCCCAGCACTCAGACTGTCACCCAGCTCTCTCAGAGACTCCCAGCACTCAGACTGTCACCCAGCTCTCAAGAGACTCCCTCTCTCCCAGCACTCAGACTGTCACCCAGCTCTCAAGAGACTCCCAGCAATCAGACTGTCACCCAGCTCTCTCAGAGACTCCCAGCAATCAGACTGTCACCCAGCTCTCTCAGAGACTCCCAGCACTCAGACTGTCACCCAGCTCTCTCAGTGACTCTCTCTCCCAGCACTCAGACTGTCACCCAGCTCTCTCAGTGACTCCCAGCAACCAGACTGTCACCCATCTCTCTCAGTGACTCTCTCTCCCAGCACTCAGACTGTCACCCAGCTCTCAAGAGACTCCCAGCAACCAGACTGTCACCCAGCTCTCAAGAGACTCCCAGCATTCAAGACTCTGTCACCCAGCTTTCAAGAGACTCCCTCTCTCCCAGCACTCAGACTGTCACCCAGCTCTCAAGAGACTCCCAGCACTCAGACTGTCACCCAGCTCTCAAGAGACTCCCAGCACTCAGACTGTCACCCAGCTCTCTCAGACTCTCTCTCTCCCAGCACTCAGACTGTCACCCAGCTCTCAAGAGACTCCCAGCAATAAGACTGTCACCCAGCTCTCTCAGAGACTCCCAGCACTCAGACTGTCACCCAGCTCTCAAGAGACTCCCAGCACTCAGACTGTCACCCAGCTCTCTCAGAGACTCCCAGCACTCAGACTGTCACCCAGCTCTCTCAGTGACTCCCAGCAACCAGACTGTCACCCAGCTCTCAAGAGACTCCCAGCAATCAGACTGTCACCCAGCTCTCAAGAGACTCCCAGCACTCAGACTGTCACCCAGCTCTCAAGAGACTCCCAGCAATCAGACTGTCACCCAGCTCTCTCAGTGACTCCCAGCAACCAGACTGTCACCCAGCTCTCAAGAGACTCCCAGCAATCAGACTGTCACCCAGCTTTCTCAGAGACTCCCAGCACTCAGACTGTCACCCAGCTCTCAAGAGACTCCCAGCAATCAAGACTCTGTCACCCAGCTTTCAAGAGACTCCCAGCACTCAGACTGTCACCCAGCTCTCAAGTAACTCCCAGCACTCAGACTGTCACCCAGCTCTCTCAGAGACTCCCAGCACTCAGACTGTCACGCAGCTCTCAAGAGACTCCCAGCACTCAGACTGTCACCCAGCTCTCAAGAGACTCCCAGCACTCAGACTGTCACCCAGCTCTCTCAGAGACTCCCAGCACTCAGACTGTCACCCAGCTCTCAAGAGACTCCCAGCACTCAGACTGTCACCCAGCTCTCAAGAGACTCCCAGCACTCAGACTGTCACCCAGCTCTCTCAGAGACTCCCAGCACTCAGACTGTCACCCAGCTCTCAAGAGACTCCCAGCACTCAGACTGTCACCCAGCTCTCTCAGAGACTCTCTCTCCCAGCACTCAGACTGTCACCCAGCTCTCTCAGAGACTCCCAGCACTCAGACTGTCACCCAGCTCTCTCAGAGACTCCCAGCACTCAGACTGTCACCCAGCTCTCAAGAGACTCCCAGCAATCAGACTGTCACCCAGCTCTCTCAGAGACTCCCAGCAATCAGACTGTCACCCAGCTCTCTCAGAGACTCCCAGCACTCAGACTGTCACCCAGCCCTCTCAGTGACTCTCTCTCCCAGCACTCAGACTGTCACCCAGCTCTCTCAGAGACTCCCAGCACTCAGACTGTCACCCAGCTCTCTCAGAGACTCCCAGCACTCAGACTGTCACCCAGCTCTCAAGAGACTCCCTCTCTCCCAGCACTCAGACTGTCACCCAGCTCTCAAGAGACTCCCAGCAATCAGACTGTCACCCAGCTCTCTCAGAGACTCCCAGCAATCAGACTGTCACCCAGCTCTCTCAGAGACTCCCAGCACTCAGACTGTCACCCAGCTCTCTCAGTGACTCTCTCTCCCAGCACTCAGACTGTCACCCAGCTCTCTCAGTGACTCCCAGCAACCAGACTGTCACCCATCTCTCTCAGTGACTCTCTCTCCCAGCACTCAGACTGTCACCCAGCTCTCAAGAGACTCCCAGCAACCAGACTGTCACCCAGCTCTCAAGAGACTCCCAGCATTCAAGACTCTGTCACCCAGCTTTCAAGAGACTCCCTCTCTCCCAGCACTCAGACTGTCACCCAGCTCTCAAGAGACTCCCAGCACTCAGACTGTCACCCAGCTCTCAAGAGACTCCCAGCACTCAGACTGTCACCCAGCTCTCTCAGACTCTCTCTCTCCCAGCACTCAGACTGTCACCCAGCTCTCAAGAGACTCCCAGCAATAAGACTGTCACCCAGCTCTCTCAGAGACTCCCAGCACTCAGACTGTCACCCAGCTCTCAAGAGACTCCCAGCACTCAGACTGTCACCCAGCTCTCTCAGAGACTCCCAGCACTCAGACTGTCACCCAGCTCTCTCAGAGACTCCCAGCACTCAGACTGTCACCCAGCTCTCTCAAGAGACTCCCTCTCCCAGCACTCGTGAGAGCCTCCCTGCTGTCAGGGTGCCGACTCTCTCATTTGTCACAGAGACTGGGCTCTCAGAGAGACTCTCACCGCAGCTCTCACACTCCTTTTGAGGCTCTCTCCGCGACTTGTCACAGAGCGCGGAGAGCTGTCGCTGCTGCCGGGTGGGGGCGACCGAGACGGGCAGAGGGGACAGGCAACACCGACGCTGCGGCCCGCAACCATTCCAACTCAGCTCACGATCATTCCCTCACCTCAAAGTCCCGTCACTTTCCTCACCCTCACACATTCCTCATCATAATCTCCCTCACCACCATATTCCTCCCTCCACCTCCCTCACCTGCACTTTCCCCTCACCTTCCTACTCATCACCTCCCTCACCCTCATCTCTCGTACCCTCACTACCCTCACCTCCTCCGCGCTCACCCCTGGCTTCCCTCGCCTCACTCACCCTCATTTTCCTCATTCCAAACCTCCCTCTCCGTCGTCACTCTCACCTTTAGTTCCCTCAGCTTCCTTTAGCCTCACCACCATTATCCTCACCTCTGGCTCCCCTCGCCTTCCTCACCATTACCCTCACCTCTCACACCCTCACCTTCCCGTCTCCCTCACCGTTACCTCTCTCCCTCACCTCGCTCTCCCTCACCTCCCCCCCTCTCGCCTTCGCTCCCCTCACCACCACCCTCCTCACCTGCCTTCTGCACACCCGACTCACCTCACCGCCTCTATCACCTCCATCACCTTCCTCTCACCTCCCTTCGTCTCCCTCACCACCTCCCACCCTCTCACCTCACCCACCCTCTCACCTCACCCACCCTCTCACCTCACCCACCCTCTCACCTCACCCACCCTCTCACCTCACCCACCCTCTCACCTCACCTCATTTATCATCTCCCTCACGCCCGTCCCCCCCGAGCCGTCTCGCTCTCTCACCATCTCCTCCTCACTAGTCTCCTCACCTCACCCTCACCAGTGGGGCTCACCTGGCGGTGGGGGGCTAACAGGAGCCCGGCTCTGGCTGTGGGGGGGCCTCTCGTGTTGACGCTGTCTCGTGACTACCCAGCCTCTGCGTGACTGCGTCACCACCGCCACCACGTAACCTCCTCACCCGCGTACGTGGTGCGTCACGACGAGGCGACGTCATCACGCTCGATGGATCGTCATCGCGTCCAGTGGCGTTGCGTTTTCATTTGCACTGCCGTTCTCGTGTACAGCGGTGGGGTGGTCCAGATGTCTCGCGACCCCGCCCTCCCATGAATTAAATGGGGATCACAAGACATCTGGACCACCCTGTACACAATATGACAGTCCAGCATTGGCGTCTTAAGCGCAGCCTGACACTGCTGATGAGACACTAAATGTCGAATCCGGTCCTTGCCTATAAACATCTGGAAGTTCAGCATTGGCTCAAGCAAACCTGACACTGCTGATGAAACATTGAATGTCGAAACCGGTCCTTGCCCATAAACATCTGGCAGTTCAGCATTGCCTCAAGCAAGCCTGACACTGCTGATGAGACGCTGAATGTCAAAATAAGTCCTTGCCAATACATATTTGGCAGTTCACCATTTGTTGAAGCACAGCCTGATTTTGGTGATGTTTAAACACTGAATGTCAAATCCGGTGCTTGCCTACAAACATCTGATAGTTCACTAGCAGCATTGGTCCAATCAAGCCTGACACTGTTGATGAGACACTGCACGTTAAAACCAGTCCTCGCCTATAAATATCTGGCAGTTCAGCATTGGTTCAAGTGCATACATCCTGACTGCTGATGAGACACCGCGCTTCGAAACCATTCGAGAGTTTGCTTGTTTTCAACCAATGCTGCTGTAATTATGCAGCCAGCTATGGCTGCAAAGTTTGGTCGTACATGTTATGTGGTAAATCGTTTATTGTTAAATTTCAATCACAGTTCCTATGATCACTGTTATATTGCTTTTATAGCTTTATTTTGGTGATTTCGAAAACGTTTTTGGTTTAGCCATATTTGTTTGTTGTAGGACAGAGTTAGACTGATAACTTTAATCTAAATTGTCTTATGGTTGTTATTGTTTGACTTGCATTCCACTGGGATTTTTGCACACAACGTTGATATGCGGTGCTTTTTCTGGAAGACTTTGCTGTTTTTTCTTGGATTTTTCTGTTTGCGCGTAGTCACTTTAAGATTTTTCTTGTTCATGTTTTTGTTTGTTGCGGTTGCACTCGAGTCAAGAGAGCCGAATGGCTCACAGGGCTATACCAAATAAATGAAACTGAAAACTGAAATGTGCTCCCAGGAGGCCGCGTGGCTGATGGGATGGGAATTTTTGGTTGTGTTACGTGCAGGAACAGGTATGGTGGGTAGCATTGTCTGCGTATTGGTTTCGTGACTTGTCGTCGCCCACAGGGCTAAAAGCTTAGTCCGTGTTATGGCCACCAGAGGAAGCCACTGGGCTTACAGTTAGCGAATAACTTCACGAATCCTCGCCTCGTCCACACGTGTGGGTTCACAACATTCAACATAAACCCTGCTCCCTCCCACGCGCGAATCCTCGGCATTCCGACTGAATTGAACTCCTTCATGTGCTTCATTCATCACCTCTGAAGCATCTTCCGCCCGTGCAGGGCTTCGTCTGTCACGGAGCACGTGCGTACGAGGCAGGGACGTGCGGTCAGGGGAGGCAGGGGAGGCAGAGCCTCACCTGTCATGCTCCAATGAGAATAGCTGTTACGAAAAGTAAACAAAAAGAATAATAAAATAAAATAAATATTAAGATGTTTCCACTGATCTGTGTTATAAATGTCATTTCTGTACGATTCCAATCACTTTTACAGTCAAAATCGCCAAATTTGCGGAGCTCCGCTGCAAATAGAGGAAGAGACGAGAGGTGAGGCAGCGACGAGCTCAGCCTCCCCTCTGATTGCGCAACCCCTCAGTAACTGGATGGAGCGCGGGCAATAAGCGCGTGCCTGTTACTATCTCTCTGTGTGTCACCAATGTAATGTTTGTAGACCCCTTCATTTCATGTCCTCGCCTTCCATACTCAAGGTAACTTATTTCACGTTATGTGTATAAAGATATTTAGCCTCGCTGGTCTCGTCATGAAACTGCAATGAAAAAGCACCAGGGGAGGCAGCTATCACATCTGCCTCACTGAGGCCCCGCCCCCTTTCGTGAGACCACGCCCCCCCCTTAGTGTGTGAATCTGGCTCTGACACTAGCCAGTGCCTCCCCAGCCATTGACCTCACGGCACGTCACTGGTACCAGGTACAGACGGGAGTAGCCAACAAGACCTTGCACACAGTTGATGTAAAGTTTCAAGTTTATTTTGTTTAACCGGCTGAGACCTCAAGTGGACCACAGGATGAATCTCGTTTGGAAGAGTGAGTTACACGGGTCACCGAAACTGACTTAGGAAATACCAAAAAAAGTATAGCCGCCTAAGCAAATACAAATCTGTACAAAAACAACGGCGTCACGTGAGACATAATCGAAAACATTGCACAAACACAAATAAATGCTAAATAATAAGTTAATTTACACTGGATATGGTGTGCCGGGTGCAAAAATATTTTCAGTGGCAGACCAGGACTGACCCGGCTGATATTAAGCCGTGCCTTACGTGCCTTTCGCAGTGCAACATTAGCAATCACAAATATAATAAACGATTTGGAAGCTGGCGCCTTACCGACAGATATATTGCAGTTGTGATTATGGGTCTCGAGCAGCTGCGCAGTGGTTAACACATTGCACTGTGAGCACAGTAAGATTCCTTGGCCATATCTAACCAGCACTACTGGCCAGTCTGATGAAGCATTGGTCAAACAACTGTCGTGACCGAAATATGTTTGAAGCCTTAATCCAGCAGGGCGCCGCGGTGGCTGCGAGATGTCAACTACCTCGCCTGGCATACAGGAGGCCGTGGGTTCGATCCCGACCGTGCTGTATATTTGGAGTTTGCATGTTCTCCCCGTGGTCGTGTGGATATTTCTCCGGGTTCTCCGGGATTTCTATCCACATTTACAATCACGCGTTTAAGAGTATTTGGTTGATTTAAATGTCGTTTGGCTATCGTTTGTGGGCAGGTCACTTCTGAAAAAGTGCTCTATAGCTCAGTGGGCCTTACCTGGTAGAATAAAAAAAAGTTTAGTTTAGCACTATATGTATAACGGGATATGCATTATTACACTGCAGTACATACGTATTGCTACATGTACAGGCCCTTCTTGTTAGTCCACTGCTGGATGAGGACCTCTGCCACACCTTACGGATCGTCAGGTTTATTGAACCATAGTTCACTACGCTGGTCAGTGTACGTGCTATGAAGAAGGGCCATTGCCCGAAACGTCGCCTATGATTACTTTTTGGTTATTTCGGTAAAGTCACGTAGAAAGAACCAAAGAGTAATTCCTGCAGTCACGAAAGCTTCAAATCAAATTTGTCGCGTATTATATATTTGTATCTTTTAAGGCCGCACACAGTGGTTGATATTGACGAATGTGCTGGTTGTAGTTTTGTAAATTATGTATGTGCACCACTGCTAACGCAGCAGCAGGATAAGTAAATACGGTCAGTGTATAGGTTGATGAAGACCGGGGAGCAACGGTACAACAGTGGGTTGTGCTGCACTGCCCACTGCTTAGCACCACTTAGCACACAGCCCATTCATTGTCTACAGAAATCTGGCGTGCAAGATGGTTTCCCACTCAGGTACTATGCAGACTCAACGCCTGCGTAGCTTCTGAGATTGGGAGCATTCCGTGTGATTTGGGCAAAGGCAGTTACTACAGTCTCTCTGTGTTTTTATTGCAATTTGCCACCAATATTCCACCTTAACACGTAGGCTTTTGCGACCAATATTATTCATAATAAAGGTCTTTGGATAGCGTTATTTATAAATGTGTCGTAACCCTCCACCACCCGACACGGCCAATCAGCAAAAAAGTGTCACGTTGACAAAAGACAAATAGTTCACTACTTTAGCCCACCGGTGTGTTGAAGAGTGAATCCACAACATTTACAGTTTGAGTACGACGTTTCGCTGGTAATTACATCCAGCATCATCGGGCAATTCGCTTTACCATTCTGGCGAATTGCCCGATGATGCTGGATGTAATTACCAGCGAAACGTCGTACTCAAACTGTAAATGTTGTGGATTCACTCTTCAACACACCGGTGGGCTAAAGTAGTGAACTATTTGTCTTTGTCAACGTGACACTTTTTTGCTGATTGGCCGTGTCGGGTAGTGGAGGGTTACGACACATTTATAAATAACGCGATCTAACCCAAAAAACCTTTATTACGAATATTCCACCTTCCGTGAGTCAGCAGTACTGTACTGTAATGCTTCAAAAGGTTTTTACCAGATGCCACCATCATCACCATCAGCCAAGAACAATCCACTGCTGGTTGAAGGCCTCCCCAAAAAAAACTTCTGCACATCTCACGGGATCCTGCGATATCCCAATCCACCCATCCAGCAGAAACCTGCACAGGAGTCGGTTCCCGTCGCTCCACGATCGCAGTGAAAAGGCCCTTCTCGGACGCATTCCCCCTTCCCATTGGCTGCCACTTGGCGTCGTTAGTCTCGACCTGGGTCAAAAATAAACGCTTAAGTGCGACCACTAATCACCTGTTCACGAAGGGCGGTGAGACGATGGCGTGATGAGATCCTGCTTGAAACACGTGACGGATGCCCCCAAATCTCCAACCCACCGCCCCATGCAAAGCTGCCACGTGCTCTGTCTGACATGGCCTCGAGAGTTCCGTCGGCAGCCTTGCTACGTTGTCATTAAAGCTCAGCCACACGCGTCGACGATGTCAACAGTTGGTTTAGTTTTTTCAGCACTGCATTTTGTAACGCTTTTTTCCCTTCCAATTCGGCTTGAAAGCGGCAATGCATTTGCCCCGTCCACCAGCTGCCAGTACCGGGAAGCGAAGCGGGATGCGCGACAACTCTCTTAAAGATGACCCAGTGCGAGCGAAACTTGGGTAGCACGTTGTTTGGCTACGAGGCACTTCGCCTACAGAGCATCGACCACATGGACTAAAGCGTTACCGGCGCCCTCCCCTGCAGAGCATCTCTCCCAGCAAGCCCCCTGGTCTCAGCTTCTCGGCGCAGGGCAGGACGCGATGGACACACCCGCTTTCTGCGGCGCGTTAAAGATTACAACCCAGTGCGTATGCGCGTGGATTTGTTTTTGTTCCCTCCCTTCGGTTTATTTTTAATTTTTAAAACCTCCAGCGGATGCTTTCCGAGACGCCACTCGTCCACTAGACTCGAGGACGCCAAAACATAAAAAAAATCTGGCGCCGCTGACTCAACCTTGCCAACAACATCGGGGCTGTGACCGGACCTCAGATGCCTCCCGTCTCCACCTTTTCCTGGCCCGACTCGGTCCGACCACGGGGAAGCCGTTCGCTCCCAAGGGTCTCGTCGAGTCCAACGGAGATGGTGGTGGTGGGGAGAGGGGCAACGCGGCGGCGAATCTGGAGGCGGGGAGATACGGAGAGGCACCGCGCTGAACTTGGCGCGCGCTGGCAGTTGAGAGATGCCAGTGGCACGCGGCGCTGGAGGAGGAGGGCGTGCGAGGCTCTCCTCCTCCTCCCCTCTCCCGCAGCTCGTATTTATAGCTGCTATAGATAGCCGGGAATGTGGGCCCACGGGCAAGCGAGCGGACGCACCCCGCCACTGGACCGTCTCTCCACCTCCCCCACCGCGCACCGCGGCGGCCGGGGCCAGAGCGACCAAAGCGGCCACCCGCCCCCCCCCCCCCCCCCCGGGCCCCCCCCCCCCCCCGACCAGGCGTGTCCCTCCCCCGGCGAAAGTTCCACGCGCGGCCACCGCCGTTACCGCCCGTGTCCTTGTGGAGCCGTGGGAGATTTGAAGAGGCACGCGAGGTGATGTTGGTGACGACGGTGATGATGATGGCGATAGTTGTGGAGTTGTGACGTGCTGCTGCTGGCGCTACAGCTGCTACGGCGTCCCTGCTATGCCAGGGCTAGTGGCGTGAGAGACGGAGAGGGGAGGAGACCTTTCGGAACGCAGTCGTCGCCATCGTCTCAGGTTTGCTCCGTGTTTCGCGCTTGCCTGTCTATCACGACCTTTATCGATCCACTGCTGGATGAAGGTCTCGCCCCCCCCCCCCCCATGTGTGGGTTGATACTTGTGGGGTTGTTCGACCATACTTCACCATGCTGGTCAATACGGGTTCGTGACAGGAGGGGTGGATTGGGAGTGGATGGAGAGGGGGGGGTCCGAACCGGTTCAGATATCACTCGCCACCGATGTTAGCCGTGGCCAAGGAATCTAGCTCAGGTGGCTGGGTTCGCAGGGCGCAGTGCGCCGCTAACCGCTTGCTTAGTCCGCTAATCGCTTCACAGTAATTGCGCGTGAGTGTCTCTTCTTCTCGGTGTGTTGTTGTAACTCGTCCCCCTCCCTCCCCCCAGGGGAATACCGGTGTGGCGTAAGCGGGCGGTGGGGGGGGGGGCAACCATGGAGGGGGCAGCCACGGAGGGGGGTTCTCGAGAACCTAGAGGCGGTGATGGCGAGGCGCGATCGGACACCACGGCAATGACCAGGAGCCGGCAGGCGCGTTTCACGGTGAGAGCCCCACGCCACCATCCGCCGATCCTCCCACCCGGGGCGTGTGCTTGCCGGCGATATAAAATGTTCACGACGTGACGATTATCGCGATATCGGCTCCAGATAACATTGCTTCTGTTCGTATTTATATCGTATTTTTTTACGCTTTGTTGTACATCGCGTACGAATGGGGATGTACTTAAAACGTTCGTCAGCTGCAGTTCACTCATCATGGGAACTTTACAATCTCTGACGCTCGTAACGGACATGTAATCTGGTGATGCTGCTGCTGCGTTGGCAGCGGTGCACAAGCAGAGTTAACGAAAATAAACTTGACACATTCGTCGATAATAACACTGTGGCCTTAAAAGGCAAATTAAAAAAATAATAATTATAACGTTCATATCAACAACAGTACATCATTTAAAGCAACGACTACTACAATGGTTTTGTCATTGTAAATGCCGTGCCATCAATGATCTTTCAAACACATTCCACAAATCATTAATGCAATAGATAAATGGGTATTTATTGAGAACATATTATGTGTTTATCATTTCATAAACATGTTTTAATCGGCGATTAAATATTTTCAAAATAAAATGGTACGTCGCAGACCACACGATGTGCTTATCTAAACTATGAAAACATTTTACTTTTTAATTTTACCAGGTAAGGCCCACTGAGCTATGTAGTTCTGTTTCAGAAACGACCTGGCCACAAATGGCTCAACAAAGTCGCTTATCGTGTGGAAATGTAAAGCAATCAAATACTCTAAACGCGTGTTATTGATTCTAAATGTGGAGGGAAAACCCGGAGGTCCCGGAGAAAATCCACGCAACCACGGGGAGAGAAACACACAAACTCCAAATATACAGCAGCAGACGTCAGGGTCTGGATCGAACCCACGACCTCCTGTATACCAGGCGAGGTGGTTAACATCTTTCCATCGCAGCCCCCCCCCCCGCCCCATCGCGGGATGATGTTGACGAGGTGGGGGCCGCGTTGTTGTGTCCACAGGTGAGGTCGGCCAGAACTGCGCCGGTTATCGGCTCCATCCAGGAGCGTGGGGAGGAGGACTACCATCCTCACTCGGGCGGCTGGGCCACAGGCGAGCAGGTGATGTGGCAAACCGGCCAGACACAAACATCGTAAAAACCGAGTGGATTGGGAAAAGAGGCAAATCACTTGGTGCCAAGTAATAATCGTGATCCTGGTAAACCAGAGAACCAGGCAATGGGGTAACGGATAAACTAGCAATTAGTGGATCGGACAACCAGGTGATCGGCAAAACAGGCAATAATAAACTAGCAACATGGGAACGGATAACGATGTGATTGGTAAACAGGAAATCATACAACATATTAATTATAGGGTAACTGAACCAAGGTAATGGGTAACTAGCTAACAAATTAACTTGAAACCGGGTAATGGGAAACTTTCAATGACCAGCGTGGTGAAGTATGGTTGTGTATATTTCCCCTCACGGTAGTGCAGATGTCATAGCGAGAAGTGGGAGGACTGGGAGCATGAAAGCAGCAAAGGTGAAGATGATGATTCACAAACGGTGGCCCTTATGGGGGAAAAAAATGATCCGAAAAACATGGTGTAGACAGAATCATAAAAAATAGTGGTGGGTTTTTTTTTTATGCAGTTCCCTATTGCAAATGCTTCTCATAGCACAGGAAGAGAAGTTTCAGATGTCAAGAATGAAAGATGAATAGCTAAATTCTGCCCTTCACAAAACGATGATTTCATAATCCCCGCAGCTGCACCAGCAGCTATCTAGAGCTCTCCCCCACTGCACAGCAGCAGGAGCCAGCAGCAGCAGCGAGCAGCAGCAGCCAGCAGCAGCAGCCAGCAGCAGCAGCAGCACCCAACAGCAGCAGCAGCGAGCAGCAGCGAGCAGCAGCAGCAGCGAGCAGCAGCAGCCAGTAGCAGCAGCAGCCAGCAGTAGCAGCCAGCAGCAGCGAGCAGCAGCAGCAACCAGCAGCAGCAGCAGTAGCAGCCAGCAGCAGCAAGCAGCGAGCAGCAGCAGCCAGCAGCAGCGAGCAGCAGCAGCCAGCAGCAGCAGCGAGCAGCGAGCAGCAGCAGCAGCGAGCAGCAGCAGCAGCCAGCAGCAGCCAGCAGCAGCAAGCAGCAGCAGCCAGCAGCAGCAGCAAGCAGCAGCAGCGAGCAGCAGCCAAACACCATCATCCACCTTTAAGCAGCAGCTCAAGGCTCTCACCCTCACCTGTTCAGGCTCCCAGCTGTCCAGGCTCTCACCTATTAAGGCACTTACCTGTCCAGGCCCTCACACGTTGAGGCCATAGCCTGTTCAGGGTCTCACCTGTTCAGACTGGTGTACGAGAGACTTTGAGCTCTGGCCTCACGCCTCCAAGTTCTCGATCGAACATTCCTTCCGATTTCCGACATATATAATGCGCGTTATAAAGCTTACTGGACCAGGCGAAATAATGGTGCACGTAACTCAGAAGTATGATCACATTGTTACGTGTTCTTTTACCCAGGAATGTCTCACTTCGTCCCATGACATTGTTTTTTAAGGAATATCCTTGCCAAGTATTTTTTTGTAGTAGGGGGGAGGGCGAACGTTGCTTTGTGTAATCCCAGTTGGGTAATTTCAGGGTGGGTGCCAAAACAGCCAACGACCGAATGTTGGAAAGTGAGACCTTCCCATTGGTATGAATGCCGTGCGAACGCGTTGACTTGACGCTGCAGATAACCGCATCGCCGTGTCCTTTGTGAGTGAAGCCCGACAGCAGGGCCCGCCAGGCTGCACTCAGCTACACGGGGGAGCCCTCCGCCGAGGCCACGGACAAGAGAGACTGGGGGCACAGGGGGATGGCGGGCGGTCCGGGGGCAGCCGCGGAGAGCTCTGAGGTTTACTCGCTGCTCCGTCACCGCGGAGAGGACGACGTGGATCCAGAGGTGCGTAGTTCCCCACACCCAGCCCAGCAGTGGCTACACGCAGTGCAATGGTAGCGCATAGCGTGGTTGGCATGGCCTCTGGCGACATGAATGAAATGAGGCCTCCTGTAAAATGTCCACTTCGTCTTCATAGCCCAGCCCCTGGGCCCCGCTGGTCCGTCGGGTCCACGTGCAGTTGCACCACCCGCACACTTTGACAGCTGAATCCACGGCATAATTTCAGTTGGATCTTGAGCAAAATATTTCATAAGGCAGCGCATCTCATCAAGTGTACAATCTGTGGCCATGGCCATTGATCACCGCCCCGGCCGACCTGGAAAATATTCGGTGAGAATTCAAGCCCCGGGTTTTCCACCGCCACGCGACACCCGGCGCTCGTCGCCTGCTTCGACCCGTCTCCATGCACGGCACCTACACTGCTCGTGAATCTGCAAGTGGCTTTCGCCCCTGACCACCGATGGGTTAATAGTATGGGGGGCGCAGCATATGAGTCTGCGTGCGCGCATGCAGGCGTACCGGGGCAGGCGACTGTCGCGTGATTTAAGCAAGGCAAGCTGCCAGCGGCGGCGCGCCCCTGCCCACGTGTCGCCATAAACTACAGCGAGCAAGCGTCCCGGATTTGGATTGTGTCCTTGTTCAAAATGTGCTGGCCGCACGCTTGACTCATGTGATACGGGCAAAGGGCAGGGCTCCCTGAGTAGTGGGTGGGGCTACCCGAATAGTGGGCGGAGGCTACCGAGTAGTGGGCGGGGTATCACGAACAGTGGGCGGGGTTACATGAATAGTGGGAGAGTTTACCTGAATAGTGGGCGATAGCTACCTGAGTAGTGGGCGGGGCTACCTGAGTAGTGGGCGGGGGTACCTGAGTAGTGGGCGGGGGTACCTGAGCAAGTGGGCGGGAGTACCTGAGCAAGTGGGTGCGGCCTGTATCAGAAGGAGGGAGGCGACTCACTGTGTGTGTGGGGCTAGTTATTGTATATTGAAATTTTTTCACACCGTACGTAGTCAACCGTGCTAATCAAAGGTGTTGGGAAGGACTACGAACAAAACACAAAAAGCAGTTCTAAATATATGAGTTTTCAATCTAGATTTAAAGTGCATAGCTGCAGTGGCTTCCTCATATCGGAAGGCAGAGCATTCCAGACGGCCCCAGAAGAGCATGTGAAAGCGCGCGATGTGGTGACCGTCTGGTAGACTAACTATTGAGTGGGTGTGCCTATGTAGAAGTGGGTGAGCTTCCCAGAAATGCCATTGCTTTAAATGTGTAGTTCATTCACGGGACTAAAAAAATAATTTGAAGCGGTTTTCCATTTGTGCAGTTAACATTCTGATGCGTGGCTTGCGCCTCTATACATACACGCAAGCAAACAGGGCAGGCAGCTGTCGTGTGATCTAAGCAACGGCATGCACGGCAGCTGTCCCGCGTGCTGTGCTGTAAACACGCGGAGTATTCAGGCCGCCGAATCTCTGGGCGGCTCAACCGGGCCATATGCTGCACATTGAGCTGCCTTCCATCAGGTCTGCCCACTTTCACATAGCCACACCCACTCAATGACTAGCCCCCTGCACACACAGTGAGGGCTTCCTGATCAGTTTAACAAGTAGGCCTTCCTTACTAGATTGAGTACACTGTACTTAATTCGAGTACTCGAATTATAAATGTTGTGGGCTTACTCTCCAGTACACCAGTGTGCTGTACTAATCACAAATTGCAGGTTTTGTTTACGTGACAAACCTCACTAATTGGCTGTGTCGGGTGGTGGCGGGTTTAACAACGCATTTGACGCGCTCTAACCCAGAAACCTCTATTATGGAGGGCCTCCTGATGATGGCCCATAGGCCCCCACCTACTCCTCTGCTACCACCACCTACTCGTTATGTAGTCCTGCCCACGATTCAGCTAGCACCGTCTACTACTCAGATAGCACCACCCACTACTCAGCTAGTACCGCCCACTACTCAGCTACCACCACCCACTACTCAGCTAGCACCGCCCACTACTCAGCTAGCACCGTCCCCCAGCCTGTATCGTGAGTCGAGGACATGAAGTGAAAAAAATTATCAGAATCTGAATATTTATTTATACTGGAGGAAACAAGACACCCAAACACATACAAATGAAACTAAACTATACCCATGCTACCAGGCAAAGCTCACTGAGATATTGACTTATTTTACAGAAGCGACCTGGCACAGACGAAAGCTCAGCAATGTGGCCCATCATTATGACATTTATAGCACTAAAATAATCTAAATAATCGTAATGCCTTGTTTCTAAATTGTGGAGGGGGGAAAAAACGGGACAAAATTATTTTGGACATCAGGACAGCCTTGCCAATTCCAGGGCTGTCCTGGTCAAAACCGGGACATTTTGTAGCTCCGTAAAGTATCGTTGCTGACTTGATGATGACTCATTTTCATCAGAAATGCATGTACAATAATAATTGCGTAAAAAAGGCCCCACTTGAGATGAATGCTACCACCTCAGCAACCACCCAACAGCACTGCCAACCACCACCAGCAACCCACGGCTGCTGTAGACAGCATGACGAAGATGAGCTCACCAGCGGCTCTCTGTATGTGGAAGACGAACAATCGCAGTTTGAAGTTAAACGACAGTACTCTTTGGTTCTATTCGGTAAAGTCACGTAGGTAAAAAATAAAACAACAAAAATGACGACGTTTTGGCCACAACACAAGCGGCGCGGGGGGGAAGGGGGAGTTTACCTATTGATGGTGTGAAAAGGGAATTTTTAAGAGCTGCGAAAGTTTGGGTTACCACTAGTTGAAAAATATACTGTACCATTGAAAATTAGTTTAATGTTTGGTTCGATTTAGAACATCTTTACAATGGTTGCTTAATTTGAAACCATCTTCGCGGTTGAAATTGTGTCTGTGTTTGTAGGTCTGAATTGCCTCGTGAACAAATCTCTGATAAAAACCCGTGGGTTTGCAAAGAACCTTGGTATCGGAGAAAATCATATCGTGATCACCCACAGCGTTGTAACAGTGATCAGCTACGGCAGAAGAATTCGTTCTGCCGTGATTCAAATCTAATTTGTGCTCGCGAATTCGGTCAGAGACATGTCGCTTCGTCTCCCCGATATAGCAATCACCGCAGGTACAACTCAATTTGTAAACCCCGGGGTACTGTAAGTCAGGAATGACATCCTTCACGGATGGGATCAGATCACGAATTTTGTGTACTGTATTGAATCAGACCTGGATCTTGTGTTTGTTTAGAATTTTGGAAATCTTTTTAGTAACGCCTGCTATATATGGTAGTGTGATGGTTTTGACCGGAGTATCAAGTGGTTGTTTCTGTATGGAGGGAGAAACAGCTTGGCGGATGGTACGGTCAGAGTATCCATTCCTTTTGAGGGCCAGGTGTACATGTTTTAATTCACTGGTCAGGTGGTGTTGGTCTGAAATGCAATGAGCCCTATGGTATAAAGTTTTGATGAGAGAATTATTTTGGGCTGGGTGGTGGTGGGAATCAGGTTTCAAGTAGGAATCTGTGTGGGTGGGTTTCCTGTAGACAGCATGCCCCAATGAGCCATCAGGTCTCCTCTCAAACAGAACATCTAACAATGGTAGCTTGCCATCTTTCTCCACTTCCATGGTGAATTTGATGGCGGGATGTCTGGAATTGATGTGGTGTAGGAAAAGGTTCAGAGTTGGGAGGCCATGTGGCCAAATGACGAAAGTGTCATCCACATATCTCTTCCACAGGGAAGGTCTGAGGGTGGAAGTCTGGATGGCGTCTGATTCAAATTTCTCCATGAAAATATTGGCTATCACTGGTGACAAGGGGGATCCCATGGGGGTACCCTCATTTTGTTTGTAGAAGGAGCCATTCCAAGTAAAGTAGGTATTGTTGAGGCAGTGCCTAACCAGTGCAGGTGTATCGGGGTCTAGTCCATGTTGGACCAAATTTTCAATTATTTCAATGGTATCAGGTACTGGGACCTTGGTGAACAAAGAGACCACATCGAAGCTGACAAGGATATTGTCAGGGGACAGTACAACGTCTTTTACCATAGAGACCAATTGGGCTGAGTTAAGTACTGCTGAGGCGGTCTTGCCAGTGAAAGGCAGCAAGGTATCTGACAGAAAACGGGCTAGTCTATAGGTAGGGGAGTTGATCGTGGATACGATGGGTCGTAGTGGGGTGCCTTCTTTATTGGGAAGACCATATAATCTAGGGCAGGGGTCGGGAACCTATGGCTCGCGAGCCAGATGTGGCTCTTTTGATGATTGCATATGGCTCGCAGATAAAACAAAATATTCTCACTTGTTTTAATCCATCCATCGATTTTTCACTACGCATGTCCTGTTCAGGGCTGCAGCAGCAATTGTCCATTATTTTAATTGGATGATACTGGCCTACGTTTGCCGTTGCTGGGTAAAACAGGTAAACGCCCCCTTTTGAATCAGTCTGAGACTGCGTCTGCTCGGTCATTAGCTCAAAGCTAACCCTTCGACGAAGAAGATGGCGAAAAGAAAAAAAGACGACGAGTATCGTACATTTCAGGACGAATGGACCGAAGAATTCGCCTTTGTGGAGAGAGCGGGTTCTGCGGTGTGTCTAATTTGCAATGACAAAATTACATCGTTGAAACGGTCGAATGTAAAGCGGCACTTCGACACGCGCCACGCTACCTTTGCATCAAAATACCCTGCGGGAGACAGCAGAAAGAAAGCGTGCCAAGAGCTTCTGAGCAGGGTGCAAGCTAGCCAGCAGCAACTCCGCGTATGGACCCGGCAAGGTGACTATAATTCGGCTAGCTTTGCTGGTTCTTTAGCAATAGTGAGGAACGGAAAACCATTCACAGATGGCGAGTATGCTAAAACGTTCATGCTGGATGTAGCCAATTAACTTTTTGATGAGCTTCCGAACAAAGACAAGATAATCAAACGGATACAAGACATGCCTCTGTCGGCAAGAACTGTTCATGATCGTACCATCGTGATGGCAAACAAAGTGGAGGAAACGCAAGTGAAGGACATAAATGCAGCGCCGTTCTTTTCTCTGGCTTTGGATGAGTCAACAGACGTGAGCCATTTGTCGCAGTTCAGCGTGATTGCAAGATATGCTGTTGGTGACACACTGCGCGAAGAAAGTCTTGCTGTTCTGCCATTAAAAGGGTCCACAAGAGGTGAGGATTTATTCAAGTCTTTCATGGAGTTTGCTCAAGAAAAAAGTCTACCTATGGATAAACTTCTCTCAGTGTGTACTGATGGTGCTCCGTGTATGGTGGGGAAAAACAAAGGATTTGTGGCGCTTCTCCGTGAACATGAAAATAGACCCATCCTAAGTTTCCATTGCATTATACACCAGGAGGCACTTTGTGCTCAGATGTGTGACAGGCAGTTTGGCGAAGTGATGTCGCTGGTCATTCGTGTGATCAACTTTATTGTTGCCCGAGCCTTAAATGATCGCCAGTTTAAAACACTGCTGGATGAAGTTGTAAATAACTATCCTGGTCTGCTTTTGCACAGCAATGTGCGTTGGTTGTCAAGAGGGAAGGTGCTTAGCCGTTTTGCGGCTTGCCTGAACGAAATCCGGACTTTCCTTGAAATGAAAGGCGTCGGGCATCCTGAGCTAGCCGACACCGAGTGGCTCCTCAAGTTTTACTATCTCGTAGATCTGACTGAACATCTGAACCAGCTCAACGTGAAAATGCAAGGCATTGGAAATAGTGTTATCCCTTCAACAAGCTGTATTTGCTTTTGAAAACAAGCTGGAGCTTTTCATCACGGATCTTGAAACAGGTCGTTTACTACATTTTGAAAAACTGAGCCAATTTAAAGATGCATGCACAGCAAGTGAGCCCATTCAAAACCTTGATCTCCACCAGCTAGCTGGCTGCACATCCAGTCTCCTACAGTCCTTCAAAGCACGCTTTGGAGAATTTCGTGAGCACACTCGTCTTTTTAAGTTCATCACCCATCCAAACGAGTGTTCACTGAACACAGCCGACCTGAATTACATCCCTGGTGTCTCCGTCAGAGATTTTGAAGCAGAAGTGGCTGACCTGAAGGCCTCAGACATGTGGGTGAATAAGTTCAAGTCACTGAATGAAGATTTGGAAAGAATCACACGACAGAAAGCGGAGTTGGCGAGCAAGCACATGTGGACAGAAATGAAAAAACTCCAACCCGAAGACCAGCTGATTCTCAAAACTTGGAACGCGCTTCCTGTCACATACCACACACTGCAGCGTGTGAGTATTGCTGTATTGACCATGTTTGGATCTACGTATGCATGTGAGCAGTCATTCTCACATCTTAAAAACATCAAGTCCAACCTACGATCACGTTTAACGGATGAAAGCCTCAACGCTTGCATGAAGCTTAACCTCACCAAGTACCAACCCGACTACAAAGACATCAGCAAATCCATGCAGCACCAGAAGTCGCATTAATGGTGAGTGTTATAACAACATTATTTAAAAGAATACATTCAGAGGCTTATTATACTGACATTTAGTTGAATTCACTTTTAAAATATATTATATGGCTCTCACTGAAATAAATTTCCAATTTTTTTGCTTTCATGGCTCTCTTAGTCAAAAAGGTTCCCGACCCCTGATCTAGGGGGTCTTGCAGCAGAAGGTTTTAGGGAGGGACGTTTAGTTGGGTCGATTAGGGAGGTCGAACTTGTGATGATCTTGTTGGTTTTTATTTCTAGGCTATTGGTAGGGTAATTTTTGAGTAACTTCCATCGTTGAGCAGATTCTAGAATTAAACGACAGTAGATCATCGATTATCACGCACAGTAAATCTGACGGTTCTCAGGGGGGTGGGAGCGCCGGACTTTCACATGCTTGAATGACATAGTGTTTGTAGGTGTTATATTTTTTTGTGTGTGTTTTAAATGTGTTTACTCGAATAAATTGGCATAAATAAACATAAAAATAGACAAAAATAAAGATCCAACTTTAAAAAGTGACTTTACTATATCGCACTAATCACTTCCAATCTCGACGACTCTGTGCGGGGTGATGTATATACACACGTGCAATATATTTATTGTTTTACGTTGTACGTAGTGTATAATGTACCGTATATAATATTCAACAGTGAAATCAAGCGTAGCTGCTTTATGTTGTTGTTGTTGTCACGTACGTGGTGCCGATCGCCGGACTGGGACACACACAACCTTTGGGAGCGGTTTTTTTTCCAGATTCGCCGGATCGGCCCGGTAACCGCAGCCGGATAATGTTGGAAGCGGCGCAGATTATTTCACGCTGGGGTAATCGATGATCGGCTCTATTTGGTGATGCTGCTGCTGCGCTGGCAGTGGTGCACAAACAAGGACAACAAACCTCAACACACTTGGGCAAAGGCACCTTAACTGCTACCACTGGGCAACGATTCACGAATCAATTTAAGAATCGATCATCTAGTTTTCTTACGTGTTGTGCGTACATAGCCAACCCGTGCGTACCGGGGGAATACCGCCCGACTTTTAACCACGGGCGATGAGAGTGATGATGATGATGATGTTGTTAATCGTTGTCTTGTTGCAGCACCCCACAATCAACAAACCATCGTATAGAAGATTTGCCGCCATCCCTGTTAACTCCCTGCTGCTCGACCAGAAGGTACCAACCACACTCATCAGTCCATTAAAGTATAGACTTTAATGGACTGTTGGGGCAAGTGCTGTTAGTGAGCACCTATGAAGGCTGGCACGACGCACGAGGGGGTGGGTGGCCAGCACCATTCCCGGCTGCCTTTGTTCCCCTATTTGCGACGTTTACACACCGCATCAGGTACTAATTTGAGGCTGAGTCGACCTAGCGGAGGCCCAGGACCGGTTCAGATAATCGTCACCAGACACACTTGCGCACACACACCACACACACACACACAAAGAGCTCGACTTTAAATTCACCTGTTGCTTACTGCACCACCTGCAACGTGTTTAGCAATCATCCGGCGCTGTGGTGAGTGCATTGTGTGTCAGCATCTCTCTCTCGCTGTCTGCCCCACGGGGTGGGGGTCCAGGTGGTAGAGCGAGAAGCGTCTATGCGAGACTGGAACAGCCTGCCAGACGTGGCGTGTGAAGCCAGTGACCAGGTGACTACAGCAACGGCAGTGACGGTGACGTCACCACAGTGCTTGTGCCAGGCTAGGTGCACTTTAGGCCACGTGAAGGGTCACTGACTCGCTGGAAGGAGGTAACGGGACAGGCCCAGGTGATGTTATCCGGCTGGGTGGCTGAGCGGTAGGGCGAGCGGCTCGCAATAGGAAAGGTTGCAATTGAAAAAATCCTGGTTGAGTGTTGATGCAGTCCATCATCCCTCCGCTGTGGCTTATGAATGGACTCAACCCCACCCGGGGAATGTGGAATTTCCAACAAATGTATCAGGGCAGCAAACGGGAGACGAGCATTCCTTTGGCAATTACGTGAGCAGTAATTGGATACTCGAGGGGAAAATGTTGATGTATGCATGTACGTTGAACTTCTTTTGCACCGTACGTAGCCAACCGTGCTAATCGGTAAAAGCACAAAAATGTTAAAATGCTCAGTCTATTCTGTAAATGCAAGGGCGCCTTACCCTGAATGAGTACACACTTGAACACCAGGCGTGCTTGTGAAGAATCCAGAACAGTTACCGCCAGGGGCGGAGCCAGGATTTTGACTTTGGGGGGGCTGACTTCAATATTCTGAGATATCCAGTGTAATGTTTTCCAATGAGCACCACAAACGTATAAAACAAATTTTATTGGATCTGAACGCGGAGTTCATTAATAGGTCGGAGCCGCTGATGTAGCTAATAAGTTCGATAATTCTAGATTTGAAGCTTTCGTGACTGCAAGAATTCATACTCTTTGGTTTAATTCGGTAAAGTCACGTAGGTAAAAAACAAATTAAAAATAAAAAGTTTGATAAGTTCGAAAGGCTGCCGCTCAAGCAGCCTGCAGGGCAGCACAAGGTAGCAGCCTGCAGCATTTTGCAGCAGCCAGATATCCGGTTATCCCGATTACCGACTTTCCCAAAATTTCAGGGGGGGCTGAGCCCCCCCCAGCCCCCCCTGTGGCTCCGCCCCTGGTTACCGCACTGCCAGCGTTGCACCTGAATACAGCGTCGATCACAGTCCTGTGAGGACTGCGGGCTGTGCAGAGGCAGCACGGTGGGGCGGGGGGGTGCCGTGTCGTGTGACGGGCGTCGCAGACGGCCCCGTGGGCTTCCTTGTTTCCCGTTCAGGCTTCGTCGTGGGATGCGTGGCCTGGCCCGTCCGAGGGCTGCCCGAGTCGGAGCACAGCCCAGAGACGAGCGCAGAGCGTCTCGCCTCAAGCGTGGAGCGGCGGCAGGGAGACCAAATACGTAGGTGGCCACGCGTTGTCCCTGAGGGGCCCTGCCGTAGCCCCGAACCGCTGGCTTCTATTAGGACCCAGGCGTGGTCTCTTGCCACAGCTGTGAAAATTGAAATCGGGGCCACACCACGGGTGGCCGCCCATATCAACGACACTGTCTCCATCACCGGTATCGCCTGTTTTACCTCCAGCCGCTCGCTTTGCGATTGCTTGTGGGAAGCGTGTTCTGACATGACGCGTGGATTCATGTCGCCATTGGTTGCCGCAATATGGCGTTACCCGGTGCTGGAGATGTGCTTGAAACGTGGAAATGCGTCGGTTGTCCATAGTGGAACTTTTTCTGAACACCAAACACGAGCGTGCACCACCGGCACTATTCAGAACGGTTCCCGTTCCGACACGGCACGGCGATATTTCCACAGCGGGACGTGGGCTGTAGCCAGACCAATACGGGACACACTGGGACTTGGACATTTCAACCACTGTTGCGACCATAATAGAGTTTTTTTTTGGGTTAGATCGCGTAAATATATAAATATGTCATTAAACCCGCCACCACCTGACATAACCAACTCGTAAGGGTTGTCACGTCAATACAACGTGCAAATTCGTCACTAGTACAGCACACCGGTGTGTTGGAGAGCAAAGCCATTACATTTACAATCTGAGTACCACGTTTCGCCAGTAATTACAACTGGCATCATCAGGCGGCAGCCAGATTCAATGACACATTTATATATTTACGCGATCTAACCCAAAAAAAACTCTATTATGGATGATTTCGGTCGCGAAAGCTTTCTACGTGTTTAACTCACTGTTGCGACACTGCGATATGTTGAACGGTGTTAAGTTCATGACACTCGTGTCATCCGTTTTGCAAATTGTAGTTATTAGTATTGTTGCTCTGTTTAAAAAAAAATGTTTTCCAGATGAATGATTGTGGCTTAAGAGCTATTATTATTAGGGTTTTAAATTAAATATACCGATGATGCATTCCTGTTTGGACGCATCACAGCTGAACGTGAGCCCATTTAAGTCTAGAGAAATTTATTTATTTATTGTGTAACTGACATCATGTTTCATTATAAGCATGATTTATTGGAAACGTCCAAAGATGAGACGAATTGCGGCAGGCTTAAGTTGATGGAAATGCTGTTGATTAACGTTTAAGCGATCTTTGCTCGTACTGGACGTACGGCAGAGCACAAACACGCCGTACAAGTTACGGGCAACTCATCTTTCGCACGCAAGAGAGATGGGAAACTGATATCGCTCTAAACCTAACATCTTGAAACTTCTTAATGCGCCGCATCATGAAAAATTACATCACGGTAACCCTCGTGTTACCCAAAGGTGCCACGCCGTAGCCGCTAAACCCTGGCTTCCATTTGAGCTGAGGTGGTCACTTGCGTAGCTCTGTGTGACCCAGTGGCTTAGCTTGGTTGGCATGGGTCCTGATGCCAGGAGTGAAAGGGGGCTTCCCTCTCTATTATCTTCGCCTCCTCTTTGTAGCACGATGCCTGCACTCTGTACCCTGTGGACCCTGGTGCAGCCGCACCGCATCGTACGCCCGAAAGCTACGCCACTGGCATGAGCTAATCTCACGGACCGGCTGGCAAATGTAACTTGCGCTCAGCTACGCGTGGGCTGACGCTGGGTTGGGTGATGAAGGTCTTCTCTGTGAGTTGTGCAAGGCAGACGTTGCTGTGTACTGACCTGTCCTTCACGATCCAGGCGACCATCAGCTTTTCCCGGCCGCCAAGCTGGGACCAGGACAAGAACCCCGTAAGGACAATGCCACTCTGCTCCTGCCACAAACCAGAATCAGAATATATATTTACTTCTGGAGGAATCCGATGAGAATATAGAAAGCTCTTTTTCACAGATGTCCAGTAGGCTTGGGTAAGAACGTTACAACAACAAACAGTACACAACAACAACACGATGGGAGTGCAAAGTGCAAGAAAGGTCAACAAATCACCCAAAACGTACAAAATAAAACTAAACCATCCCCATCTTACCAGGTAAAGCCTCCTGAGGTATTAACTTATTTTTCCGAAGTGACCTGGCCACAAATGATGCCTCAACAAAGTGGCGTATCATTTGGACATTTATAGTAGCTAAATAATCTTAAAAATCTAAACGCTTGTCCCTCCAATGCTCACCATGCTGCCTTCCATCACCAGGCGTGCTGGGTTACGCCAATGCACATCCACCGGCCAGGTGACTCACCTGTAGAGCAAGCGGCCGGCAATCGGAAGGTTGCGAGTTCTGACCTTGGTTGTGGGGGTTGACTCGGCCCACAATCCCTCCGGGGTCAATAAAATAAGTACCCATTTGTGGGGAATAAGTCGAGAGTAGTTGTCCTATGGAAAGACTCTTCCCCCATCATAGGAATGTGAAATTTCCACCACTTACTCAGGGTCGTAAATGAGAGATGAGAATGCACTGGAGTGGCGCCAGGCGTGCTTGTGAAGACTCCAGAACAGTTGCCGCACTGCCAGCATTGCACCTGAATACCGCGTCGACCACAGTCCTGTGAGGACTGCGGGCTGTGCAGAGGCAGCACGGTGGGGCGGGGGTGCCGTGTCGTGTGACGGGCGTCGCAGACGGCCCCGTGGGCTTCCTTGTTTCCCGTTCAGGCTTCGTCGTGGGATGCGTGGCCTGGCCCGTCCGAGGGCTGCCCGAGTCGAAGCACAGCCCAGAGACGAGCGCAGAGCGTCTCGCCTCAAGCGTGGAGCGGCGGCAGGGAGACCAAATACGTAGGTGGCCACGCGTTGTCCCTGAGGGGCCCTGCCGTAGCCCCGAACCGCTGGCTTCTATTAGGACCCAGGCGTGGTCTCTTGCCACAGCTGTGAAAATTGAAATTGGGGCCACACCACGGGTGGCCGTCCATATCAACGACACTGTCTCCATCACCGGTATCGCCTGTTTTACCTCCGATCGCTCGCTTTGCGATTGCTTGTGGGAAGCTGTGTTTTGGAATGACGCGTGGATTAATGTCAAATTGACGTTTCTTTACCCATTTGCGTGGTTGGCGCGGGCCCTGGTATGAGAAAGAGCATGGGGTCCCCTGTATACTTCATTCCACACACTAAAGTGCTTGCAAAAAATAAACCACAATGCATTGCTGATCTCGTCAAGGAAAATGAACCATCACGCAAACTCTGGTCATCCTCGCAGCGGCTTAGCTAACTATCGAACAAAGACGGTCACCACATCACACGCTTTCAGATGCGCTTCTGCGGCCGTCTGGAACGCTCTTCCTTCCGATAAAAGGAAGCCACTGGAGCTATGCACTTGAAAATCTAAACTGAAAACGCATTTCTTTGAACTACTTTTCACATTGAGTTTGTTGTCCTTTCCCTGCACCTCCGATTAGCAAGGGTGGCTGCGTACGGTGCGAAAGAAGTTCAACACACATGCATATTCCCCCTTCTTTGCAGCTCGCTCAGTGCCTGGGCCCCTCCGGTGGCCCCACGGGCCTCGGTGCAATTGCACCGCCCGCACACTCGACGGCTACGCCGCTGGCACGCGATGATCTCACGGACGGGCTGGCGAATGTAACTTGTGCTCTTGGTTTCCGTACCGGCTAGAGTCGGGCGACAGGAGGTGGTTTCTGTGAGTTATGAAAGGCGGGCAGACGTCGCCGTCTTACCGACTTGTCCTGTCGCCATGCAGGCAACCATCAGCTTCAATCGGTCGCCAAGCTGGGACCAGGAGAAGTCGCCCGTAAGGACCACGCCACTCCGCTCCGGTCACGTACCCTTGCACCTCGAACGTCAGTTGCGCTGGCTCGGCTCGCTACCTTTAACAATAAATAAATATCGTCTGTCTGTTCTCATGCGGTAGTTGTGGCGTTCCTGCAGAACACCGCGTTATGGAAAAATCGCGTGATAATAAATAATGTATAATATAAGGGTAAAGCACAGTCCTCGATAACACGTGAGATGCGTACGCAGGCCGAACAAAGACTGAGGCACGTGGGTAGCATCTAGAAGCATCCAGCAGCATCCCGCCTTGCGCGATGCTACGCCGATGCAGCCGTACGACCGCTTATTCCTGCTCACGCGCGACGTAGTTCCATTCACTCGATCGTGTTATTTCCAATTCGCATCCGCGTCATCGTTCCCTAATGCATTCATTGCGTTATATCCATTTCGCGTTATGAAAAAGCACGTGTTATAGGAGAACGCACTGTCAACGGAAATAAATGTAAACTTAAAGACGAGCCACAGTTGTGCGATTGTGGCCATGCACACCCAAATGATGGAACCGTAGAGTAAACCGCTCTAAGTCTGCACTCTATCAATGGTGGAGGAGGACGAACAGCAAAATTACACAAAACTCTCTCCCTCTCTCTCTGCTGAAGACTTCTCGTCGTCGCCGGCAGCCTCGACATTGGCATCGAGCTCCTGAACCACATTGCTGCCATCGCCCATAAGAAAAGCATAGAATCATAATTATAATAATACTACAACTACACCTACGACCAAATCACCTGCAATGAGCCTGGCTAGATCTTGGATAGGTGGCAACCGTGGTCAAAAAGGTTGCCATAGGAATTTGGCAGCAGAGAGCAGTGCAGTACAATCCACTGTTGTACTCTACCTTCTATGACCCCATGTCTACGCTCACCGCACTCGCCAAACCACGCTGACCGGCGTGGTGAAGTATGGTCAACTAACCCCGTGACCCGTAATGCCTTTGGGAGGCCCACATGCAGCAATGTATCGATAAAAAAAATAAAAACGACCGTCTGTCCGGTCACTCTTGCAAATGAGACTCTCGTCCCGTCCCCCCTGAGTTCTCACCGGGCTTCACAAAATCGACGTGGCCCGCGCACTTGGCTGAGCACGGGCGACGCGGACGTTTCTCCGCTCGCGTTGTGGGAGAGGCCGACGTCGCCGCGCTAACCCTGCCTCTCGCGATTCCAGGCGACCATCGTCTACACCCGCCCGTCAATCTGGGAGCAGCAGCACACGGAGCCTGTAAGCACCGCCACCGCCGCCACTGCCGCCGTTGCCACAAACACGTTGAGGATTTAAACAGTGAACAATCATGTTGTGGCGCTGCGTCGCCGCCGCCGCGCGGCGTTCGTTCGCTCTCGAAGAGGGAGGGAGACACGGATTTGGAGGCGCGAGGAACCGCAGAGATGTGGGAAGGCAGCAGCCAGGCGGTCAGGCGGCGCCACTGACGATTGCCAAAGCTCTGCTGTCCTTTATACGTAAAGGTGTTCTTAGTCAGTTGTATGTACAACTGAACTTCTTTCGCGCCGTACGTAGCCAACTGCGCTAATCGGATGTGCGGGGGAAGGACAACAAACGAAACATAAATAGCGGTTCTAAAGAAATTAGTTTTCAACATAGATATTAAAGTGATTCATAATATCGAAAGGAAGAGCGTTCCAGACGGCCGCAGATGCGCATCTGAAAGCGCGCAAAAGCGAGTGTCGGCATGCGGCAGGAAGCCGGAGCGCACGGTAAAAGCGCACACATGTGAGTGGGAAACGCTCTATCCCATACAGAGGGAGCAGGTGAAAATCCACATTTGCTGTAGCGCCTTGTCCTAGCAAGACAGGGTATGGCAACTCCTTGACGCCCACGGGGGGAGGGAGTTTCACGGCATTTGTGCGATCCACCAACGCTTACGTAGAGACTATGAAGAAGGGCCATTGCACGAAATGTCGCTCATTATATTTAGTTTTCTTCTAAGGCCACAGTGGCATTGGTGAATGTGTTTAGTTGTTTTCCGATGGAGAGGTTGTCAATCAATAGGCAGAGAAATAAAAAATAATAAGAAATAAGGAAGATCTTGAGGCTGGATTTTAACAGGAGCACAGATGGCTGAGGGAAGGGAGTTTCAGACTGAATGAGCGACCTTAACCACGTTGGCGAGATGTTAACTCCCTCGCCTGGTATACAGGAGGTCGTGGGTTCAATCCTTAACCTAATTCCTGTATATCTTGAGTTTGTGTGTCTCTTTCTCCGTGGTGGTGTGGATTTTTCCCTGGGTTCTCCGGGGTTTCCCTCCACGTTTAGAAGCAGCAGCGCGTTTCGAGTAGCTGCCTGCCGTTGCTGCTCTAATTGTCCACACGTGACAAGCCACTTTGTTGAGCTATCATTTGTGACCAGCTCGCTTCTGCAATAGAGCTACATAGCTCAGTGGGCCATACCTGATAAAATAAAATAAAAATATAGTTTAGTATAGTAACCAACTGAACTTGCGGCCTGTCTACACGGTGCCGCAGGGGTCACACCGTTGGCGATTCTTTCTCAAGTTTGCTTCGTTGACTTGGGTCGTATCTGCGGTCCAGATAACGAAACCAGGCCGGATCGTGTCCCTGGCACGAGAGAAGAAGGAGGGAGGTGCAGCAGTCCCCCCCTCGCAGCCCTGGGCTCACCGCCCTCTTCACCAATCCCCCTCGGACCTCCCGGCCGCCGCGCACAGCGCCAAGGTGGGTGTTGCACGCACACACGCACGCACGTACACAACAACAACCGCCATTCGCCACTAAGTGGCGGTGACGTCACCACGACGCTTGTGCCAGGTCATGTGCACCTTGAGGCCACGTGAAGTGTCGAACGCCCGCTGGCAGGAGGTCACGGGGCAGACCCAAGTGCCACGGGTCGACTAACTGAGATGACTGGCTGATGCACCACCTGTGCCCCCTACTGTGCCAACCTGCTGTGCTTTAGCCACCCGGCGCTCCGCTCGTTGTTGTGAGCGTCGCTCCTCCGCCCTCCGTTGTTGTTGGAGGGCGACTGCCTCCAACTGCCCAGTAGCATTCTTCACGAGCCTCCTCCAGAGTCCGATCTTGACACCGCTGGTACTAGTCATCGGCAAGTCCACTCAGTTCCACGTCCTCCTGTACCACATCACTCCATCTCTTCTCTAACCCGTGCCGCGCCCGTTTAGCCCCCTCGATCCGGCCGAACAAAAGCTGTTTCGGCATGCGGTGGCTGGGCATGCGGGCTACATGACCCAGCCAACGCACACACGTACGCACACACACATGCACGCACACACGCACGCACACACGTACGCAACCACACTAGAGCTGAACGATTTGGGGAAAATATCTAATTGCGATTTTTCTGACAGATATTGCAATTTGATTTGCGATAAAAAAAAATTTTCAAGTCAAGCTTCAGTTGAATATTCACTGTGTAATAGATTTTAAACATGTGATTGAGCATTACCACGTGATACCATCAAAATATGAACTGCTCTATATATTCTAATGCAAGGATGAGAACTTATAATATATTAATTGCTTCCACCATGTATATATTAAAATGTTTTAATTGAAATAGAACAATCAAACATAGAACAATTGTTAAGTTAAATAAATCAAGTTATAATTATAAAAAATAAAATAATAAAGTAAAAAATAATAAAGTAATAATAAAGTAATAGGACTTTTCAAATCACAAAAAATCGCAGCCTTTGCTGTCACACGGGGGAGTGCGTCGCCAGCACCACCCCCGGCCAGGTTTGTCTCTCCGGCGGTGAGGTTTTTACACACCGCGCCAGGTACTCAACTGAGGATGAGTCGACCTAGGGCAGGCCCAGGAACGGTTCAGATAATCGTCACCAGTTTTGGCCGTGAGCCGTAGCGCACCCTGCCAACCGCTACGCCACCGCTCCCCACACACACGCGGAGCACACGCGCACACACAACAACAACAACAACCGCCACATGCCACTAAGTAGCGGTGACGTCACCACGGCGCTTGTGCCAGGCTATGTGCACGTTGAGGCCACGTGAAGTGTCGAACGCCCGCTGGGAGGTCATGGGGCAGACCCTGCAGGTGCCACACATGCACACACGGCATGCAGCACAAACCCACGATCCCAACCGATTTCAGGTGTGCAGCTCTTTATCAATCGACTACTGGAGAGGGTGAGGGGGGGAGGCGACACCGTCACCAATCTCCGGTCCCTCTCTCGCCCAGGTGATGGCAGCGGGCGTCTCCATGACGACGATCCACGAAAACGAGGAGCTGCCCTCGACCCTGCCGCGCGTCTCGTCCCGCCGCGTGAGCCATGCCCACAGCGTCGTCCCCATCGCGTTACCCACGTAGCAGCTGGTCAGCGGCAACGATGATTTATTTAAACTTGTAACGCGCCGCCGCACGCCAATTGCTCGTTGAGAGAGAGAATGGCTTGGAGGCGCGAGGATTGGCGCGGCTGGCTGCGCACGGTGCGAGAGAAGCTCAGCGAGCCTGGACACAGACAGATGTAAAGGCAGCGGCAGCCAGAGCACGAGCCGGCGCCAACAATTGCCCAAGCTCTGCGGCCCTCTATTGAGGTGTTATCGGCCGATTAATGAGCGTTTGATACACGTGGGAAGGAAAGTGGAGCACCCAGAGGAAACCCGCGCATGCGAGGAGGCAACACTCTATATACAGAAAGGACATGATATTAGTCGCGTTTTGCTGTACCGCGTGTGAGCTAGCGTATGGCTCCTGATACCAGGGTTGCCACGATTAGGCGGTACTACGGCTAATTGATCATCGTATTACCTGCTACGAACACTCTGACAGCTGACGGCAACTGTGCTTATGGTGAATAGAGTGGCGTCCCACCTACAATATTAAACAATCTATTCCTGAATCAGTCGGTGACGAATTTTATAGACTCACTGGGGGAACGGGTGGGTGAATCGCTGCACGATCTCCGCATGAACGCGCTACACGGTGGAGCAATCCCTGAGCCATCGGCACTGAGTGGATGTCCGAGCTGCTGTGTCTCTCTCTGCATGTGTGCACGTGCCTATGTGCGCGTGCGTGCGCGTGCGTGTGCGTGCGTGTGTGCGCGTGCGGTGCAGACGCAGGGAGGCTGGGCGGCCACACCGTCTTGGAACACCGTCCCGAGGCACCACTACAGCCACGTGAAAGCAGCCGGTACGTGCACTACAGAGCAGCCGGTACGTGCACTGCAGCAGGGCAGTGCAAGCATGCAATGTTGACCATGTGGTTGGATCCGTTGGGCCAACGACGGCCCAACGTTCCGCATTTACCGAGCGCTCTACACAGAAAGCTTGAGCGCGCCGTGGTGCGGGATACAGGAGAGAACTCTCATTTGAATGGTGCCCGGACGCCTCTCTTTGTTTTCGTGTTTGACTGGCAGCTGGAAATCAAGGCGACCCTGAGAAGCCTTTTCCTCCCTTTCCAAGAATATCCGTGAGTGTCATCGCATAGTGCCCCCACAACAACATTCCACACCATCCACGCGCATTCAGCAGTTCTCGGATTCTTGGGGTAAAACTCCCGTGGCAAACTTGCCAACCCTACCGATTAAAGCGGGCAACGCTTGTGCCTGAAAGCAAGAAATTCCTGGTTTCGATTCCTGACTAGGGGGCCTTTCTGTTTGGAGTTTGTATATTCTCCCCCTGTTCTGCAGAGTGTGTGTGTTTGAGTGCGTGGGTGAGCGAGTGTGAGTGTGTGAGCGGGTGTGAGTGTGTGAAGTTTGTATCTTCTCCCCTTGTTCTGCAGAGTGAGTGTGTTTGAGTGCGTGGGTGAGCGATTGTGAGTGTGTGAGCGGGTGTGAGTGTGTGAAGTTTGTATGTTCTCTCTCTGTTCTGCAGAGTGTGTGAGTGTGTTTGAGTGCGTGGGTGAGCGAGTGTAAGTGTGTGAGTGGATGTGAGTGTGTGAAGTTTGTATCTTCTCCCCTTGTTCTGCAGAGTGTGTGAGTGTGTTTGAGTGCGTGGGTGAGCGAGTGTGAGTGTGTGAGCGGGTGAGTGTGTGAAGTTTGTATTTTCTTCCCCTGTTCTGCGTGGGTTTCCTCTGGATTGCACCAATTAAAAAAAATGTAATGTAACTCATATTGGTCGAGCATCCCAATGCTGTAAAATTACGCGGAATATTACTCAATTTACGCAGCAGCATCGCCTCCTACTGCAAGCACCTGGCAGGCTGCCGATGATCAAACCATCGACCGGAGCGCTTCTCAAAATTCATGATTTCACTGTGAGCGCGGGTGGGAGATGAGAGGGCCGGAGGTGGGGGCTGACGGCTGTCTGCTGCCGTGCGGCGCGCGGCCGATGGAGAGGGGGAAGCGAGGGGGGGGGGGGCTGGATTGGCTGCTGAACGGCACGGAGGAGAGTTCCTCTGTCCTAGCTTGCGAACAGTGAGCTTCTTTCGTTTTCCATCGTTCCAAAAATACCTCGACTCACCAGTGTGTACCTCGGCACCTCCAATTAGCACGGTTGTGCTACGTACGGCGCGAAAGAAGTTCAACCTGCGTACATACGGCACACCAGTTACGAAGCACTGCTCTGCCGCATGCAGATTTTCGAAGCGTCAACGTTTATTGTTGTTGCTTTTGCTTCCTTCCAAAAATATTATGGAGCGGTGCGATTACCATTGATGATGGGGCGCTCGCTAAGAGGGTTCGGTAGGGGTTGGCGAGTGAACCGTGGCAGAGCTTGAGAGAGAGGGGAGGGAGAGAGAACAGAGGTTGGCCGATTGTTCTCCAACAGTAGATGGCCAGACACCGGGCTGCCGAGACAGGCGTTCGAGTGGCCTCTGCGAGCCCGGAGACATAAGACGCGGATGGATGGGTGGGACGCCGTGAGGAGGGATCTTGGAGGTCGCGTGTCCAACGCGCAGCAGCTGCGGGGTCTGGCGGAAGGTAGCGAGCGTCGGCGAGATTTGTGGTGGCGTCAAAGGATTTGGCAAAAGGTGGCAACCTTGTTGACTTTTGTGGTGAGGCCAGGACAGGAAGCGTCCCTGCCCTGCCCTGGTTCTGCCAAGCCGGCGGGAGCACTCGCACGCACCGGGACGTGGGAGAATGAGACTTGGAATCCGGCTGGGGCCTGCTGCCTGCATTGTCTGCTGCTGTCCCTGCTGCTGCTGCTGCCTGCGTTGTCTGCTGCTGTCCCTGCTGCTGCTGTTGCCTGCGTTGTCTGCTGCTGCTGCTGTTCCTGCTGCTGCTGTTCCTGCTGCTGCTGTTCCTGCTGCTGCTGTTCCTGCTGCTGCTGTTCCTGCTGCTGCTGTTCCTGCTGCTGCTGTTCCTGCTGCTGCTGTTCCTGCTGCTGCTGTTCCTGCTGCTGCTGTTCCTGCTGCTGCTGTTCCTGCTGCTGCCTGCGTTGTCTACTGCTGCTGCTGTCCCTGCTGCTGCTGCTGCCTGCGTTGTCTGCTGCTGCTGCTAACACAAAGTTCGTTCCGCCGCAGGCCGACAGGAAGCCGCTCTACCGCGAGTTCGCTGCCATCCCATCCAGACATTCCCAGGTGCACACGCCTGCCTACAGTAAACCTGCCTATAGTACACCTGCCTGTACCACACTTACCTGTACCACACCTGCCCGTGACACACTTGCCTGTACCACACTTGCCTGTACCACACTTGCCTGTACCACACCTGCCTGTACTACACTTGCCTGTACCACACCTGCCTGTACTACACTTGCCTGTACTACACTTGCCTGTACCACACTTGCCTGTACTACACTTGCCTGTACCACACCTGCCTGTACTACACTTGCCTGTACCACACTTGCCTGTACTACACTTGCCTGTACCACACTTGCCTGTACTACACTTGCCTGTACAACACCTGCCTGTACTACACTTGCCTGTACTACACCTGCCCGTGACACACTTGCCTGTACTACACTTGCCTGTACCACACCTGCTTGCAGTACATCTGCCTGTACTACACTTTCCTGTACCACACTTGCCTGTACTACACTTGCCTGTACCACACCTGCCTGTACTACACTTGCCTGTACCACACTTGCCTGTACTACACTTGCCTGTACCACACCTGCCTGTACTACACTTGCCTGTACAACACCTGCCTGTACTACACTTGCCTGTACCACACCTGCTTGCAGTACATCTGCCTGTACTACACTTTCCTGTACCACACCTGCCTGTACTACACTTGCCTGTACCACACCTGCCTGCAGTACACCTGCCTGCAGTACACCTGCCTGTACTACACTTGCCTGTATCACACTTGCCTGCACCACACTTGCCTGTACCACACCTGCCTGCAGTGCATATGCCTGTATTACACCTGCCTGCAGTACATCTGCCTGTACCACACCTGCCCGTGACACACCTGCCTGCAGTACACTTGCCTGTACCACATCTGCCTGCAGTACACCTGCCTGCGGTACACCTGCTTGTAACACACCTGCCTTTACCACACCTGCCTGTACCACACTTGCCTGTACCACACCTGCCTGCAGTACACCTGCCTGCAGTACATCTGCCTGTACCACACCTGCCTGTACCACACCTGCCTGTAACACACCTGCCTGTACCACACCTGCCTGTACCACACCTGCCTGTACCACACCTGCCTGTACCACACCTGCCTGCAGTACACCTGTCTGTACTACACTTGCCTGTACCACACCGGCCTGCAGTACACCTGCCTGTACCACACCTGCCTGTACCACACTTGCCTGCAGTACACCTGCCTGTACCACACCTGCCTGTACCACACTTGCCTGCAGTACACCTGCCTGTATCACACTTGCCTGTACTACACCTGCCTGCAGTACACCTGCCTGTACCACACCTGCCTGTACCACACTTGCCTGCAGTACACCTGCCTGTATCACACTTGCCTGTACTACACCTGCCTGTACCACACCTGCCTGCACTACACCCGTCTTGTCTGCAGCGCACACGTGGATGTGGTGGTGGCTCACTGGGGGTGGTGGTTCTTGCTTGCAGGAGGGTGACCACGACGAGAGGCCCTCGAGCGGGGTGAGCTTCGTGTGAGAAGAGAGAAGGGAGCGCTGAGAGCGCTGGGAGCGTCTCGCGTAGCTGCAGACGGCGGTGCACGGCGGCCGCGTCGTCGAAACGGCGCGGGCAGGGAAACCGCGACCGCTCCAACGAACTATTGGGAAAAATGTAGCGGAAGATGGAACTCGGGGAAGATCAGCGATTGACGAGCGGTGACTTGGCATCAGCTGCGTCTCCGCGCAGCAGCAGGCAGTCCCAATTTAGTCATCTACAGGAACTGCCCCGTCGACGTGCAACGTCGGGCCAACGTTGGCTGACGTTGGCCCGACGTTCCGTGTTTACGGGGTCCCGTGGCATTGGATTGCGCGTTTCAGAATTGGTTTGCGATTGCACGTGTTATCTTACAGAAAGCAATATAAATAAACATTACGCGCTGTGGATGGACTAAACGGGCAAAACCGGGGTACCCCACCGCTGAATTATTCCGGTGTTTCGAGGACACGGCAGTGTCCACCCTTCAGTGTGCACGGCTTGCTTGCACAACTGCCACCCAGACCTTCTCCCTGCGAATGCCGTGAGCATTACGCGGTGGCACCACGTCATTATGACGGTCGAGTGGGTCATCGACTGCCAATTTTGCAAAAAGTGAAATATGTAAACTTCCACTTACAAAGACCGGATGAGGCTTACGTGTGAAATACTCGCTCCGTTATCGAGACGAGAGGCCCTTTGTTGAAGTATGAAATATTAGAAATCATCTTTCAGGGGGGACAGGCCTCAGATATTTAACCGATCGTAGACTCACATTTTGTCCATTCACAGCCCAGTTGATTAAATATGAATGCGGACTACTCGCTTTAGTGTTCGTGTTGTGACGTAGGATTAGGGGTCACGGTTTTGTGATGATAAACTGCCTTGGGTTCAAGGCCCAGACCCCTGAGGCCTAGGCAAAGGCCGAGGTCAAGGCCGCAGGCCAAGCCGAGGCCGCGGCCGGGAGGTCTTCAGGTAAAGGCCACCGTCAAGGCCAGATTCTCTCGGCGGAGTTCAGTGGGGCGGTGACATGGCTGAGCGGTAGCGTGTTTGCTGCTGAGGTTAGAACCCCCCAGCTGCCCTGGTTATTACTGCGGATGTATTGTTAACCAAGGCTGGTTAGAGGTTGGGTATACAGTTAGAGCTTAGAGTTAAAAGTTATGGGTTAGGCAGTCGGGCTTAGGGTTATGGTTAAGGGTTTAGGAGCTAGGGTTTTGGGTTAGGGTTTTTGGACGAGGTGAGAGTTGGGGACAGTAGTACCTATGACTGCATTTCTTGCCCCGCATCTGCGGAGATAGTAGTATCGGCTGCACGGTATACAGTACGCTACGCACATACACGGTGTGCCATGAATGACTGTGGATTCATGGTATCAAACAGCCGGGACACGGGCCCCATGTGAGCCCTGGTTTACCAGTAATAAAAATTGTTTATGGTTTAAGTGGCAAAACATCTAAATGCAGCCGCCCTTCTGAAAAGGATTCTTCAAACACAGTGAGGCATTCTTGGATAAATAAATTGAATTATTACAATTATTGAGGCTCTCTATCGAGTTTTTTTTTACACTGTGAGAAGACATCACGGCCCAGGAATTGCGTTTGATGTTATGGTATAAAAAGCACTCCCCAAATTCAAAAAAAAAAAATTCTTCAAGGACCCAAGAATGCGAGCTGTGACGAGATAACATCTCGCTGAGATGACGAGAGGTTATCTCCCTCGCATGGTATGCAGGAGGCCTTGTTTTCGATCCCAACCCTGAATATGCCTGTTGTATATTGGAATTTGTGTGTTCTCTTTTAGCGAGTGGATTTTTTTCTCCGAGTCCTCTTGTTTTCCCCATCCACATGAAGAAACATGTATTTATATTATTTAGCTGCTACTATAAATTACCACGTGCGATGATGATGACGATAAGACACTTTGATGAGCTATCGTGTGTTGTTACCAGGTCACCTCTGAAAAATAGCTAATATCTCAGTGGGCTTTAAATGGTAAAATAAACATAGTAGCAGTAGGGTCGGCGAAGCTCCGAGGTTGAGGCTTGAGTGGTGCAGCGCGATCGGCATGGACCCTGGTACAAGGAATGTAAGTGGGGTCCCCCCCTGTACAAATTCCTCTCTGATTCACAGCCTTGGCGCCTGGGCCCGCCAAGCCCATGTGAGGTCAGATGCAGTTGCACCGCCCGTACACTCAGTAAAATATCATCATCACATACAATTGTTATACTCGATAGTTATGCCACTGATCAGCGGCGAAGTCTGTGCAGAGCGCAAAAAGCAGCCAAGTTGAGTGCAAGCGTGGACGCGAATGTCCACGGCATGTCCACGTCGTGACGGTGCGGCTAAAGCCTCACGGACGTTCGCCCCGTCGTTGGGTTGACGATGGAATCAAGGGCGCAACGCTTTCGCCAGAGGTCTCGCGAAAAGAACCGTCCATCGCGACGAGAGAGTGCCAAGGAGGGCTTTGCGCAGTAATAATGAGTATTTGTTTTGACAGAGCCGCGCTACTTTTCGCGGTGGCATCTCAGAGCGCATTGCGCGCGATGAGCAACTCGCGTCGCGTCTCATCTCGCGTCTCAACTCACACGTGTGCAGCACGAGGCCTACAAGCGGGCATCAGTCTGCCAGCAGGGGGCGAATATTGCTGCTTGTGTGTAATCTCATTTGCGTAATTTGGACTCGCAGTGCACACGTGACGCTCTCTCGTGGCATTTTTGTTGTTGTTATAGGAGTCCTGCATGGCGTGAAAACACCGGGTGTCAATGGGAAATGTATAACAGGTCGGCCTTTTGAGTTTGTGTATAGAAGCGGAATGTTTATTTGTACTACTCTGCAGTGTGTATCTTTCAATAAAATGTTGATTGAAACGTGAGTTGCTGCTTCTGTTGGGTATGTTAGATTCGTGGGTAGCAGTAGCAGCTCTTTACACGCCATCACGGGAAGGGGAGTAGGAGTCAAGGTTGCTGGCAAACGGAACACAAAGAATGGGAAATGAGGAAGAGGATGGAAAAGGAACGGAGAAACGGGGAGCAAAGAGTCAGGAGAGACGAGGATACGGGGGAAGGGGCTGCACGGGGGAACGGCGTTTGTTTTCAGAGGGGGTGGTGACTTACGTGTGGCCACGCCTGCTCCGAATTGCTCCCCTCAACCCAACCGCCCCCTGTGAAAACAGACACTTGGGCTGTATTTAGATACAGAGGTGTACACACACAGGAATATACTCGTTTTATGCACCATCTATCAGAAAAAAAGATTCACAAAGCGCCGAACAATTTACACAGCAGTCGCACGGAGGGGTGGTCTGGACCGTAGTGGGGCAGTTGACAATTCGATCGGCTAAAGAGAAGGCAGAATCTGAATGTTTATACTGGAGGAAGCTGATGAGCTATGAAGTTATTTTTTAACAGATGTCCAGTAGGGGCGGGTAAGAACGTTCCAATAACATAACACAAATACACGATAGTGATGCAAAGTGCAAGAAAGGTAAGCAAGTCACGTAACCACCCCCATCTAGCCGGGCAATGCCCACTGAGGTATTAACTTATTTTTCAGACGGTGGTAGAGGCCATGTGGCCGATGGGATGTGTCAACAAACAAACACAAATCGACATATTTTTGTTTGCTTATGTCGAGAAGCATAGGGAGTGAATTGTCTGTGTTTTTTATGTTATGCACACATTGATTTGTTTGGCAAGGACAGATCGGCACGTTAGATTAGCACTGTACAGGAGTGGAATGTGGAATTTCTGGCATTGATTGAGAGGACGAGACGCCATCCAGCGAGGGTGAAATTGTCACTATTTACGTCGACGCTTATATCTTTGTGCTTTAGAGGCCCACTGTGTTATTGACAAATGTGAGTTTTATTTAGAACAATAAGAATAGGTTTTATTCTTTCTAGCAATAAAAAAAGTGTTACGATGTTCAAGCACCAAATGGATAACCTATTGCAAAACATCAAATGTGCATTGACCATATATATGTACCTGTGGAAAAACATGCAAACATACTATGATAATACATGCAATGTCTTTGAAACTGATTGGCCTACACCAGAGACAACCTTCTTGATCGCCTTGTCTGACCAGTGTCAGACCAGAGAACGCCAAAAGGCGAACAGTAGTACAGAGACAATGCAAGTATCAGGGCATTTTTCTAGCTCGGGTTGAGCAGTTATATCTCTGGGACTTGTTTTACCCGGTGTGTAACAGAGTGAGTTTTCTCGTTCATGTTTTTATTGTGCACCGCCGCCGACTTGAATGGAACTTTCAAATCTCTTTTGGTGGGAACGGTTGCCACCTCCGAGGTACAATAAAAACCCCCGGGGGCATGTCATGGGATTATGAAGACCTCACAATATAGTAGCGGGGATGAATTGCACGATGCGTTGTCTTGAGGACGGTCTGTATTGGAATGATTACGCTGCTGACAACAAAGCCGGAACATTTCATTTTATCAGGCAAAACGTGCGGATTTCCATGGACTGTTGCCACCTTAACATGCGGATGATCCTGATGAAAAAAAAGCTGGACAAGGTGGCAACCCCTATTTGGTTGGTTCCACGCGTTAACACGTGGCCGCGTGGATTAAGAAACTCATGCCGTTTGATTATTTGGCCTGATAAAACATTTCCACGCGATGGGGTCACTACGTTGGGTTTATCATTTGTGGCCAGGTCGTTTCTGCAAAGAAAAAAAACAGCTCTATATCTCAGTGGGACTTACCTGGTAAAATAACAAAAAATAGTTTGATTTTTTTTAAAACACACACCTCCACGTACTGTACAAAACACTCCCCCCCCCTCTAGTAACCCAATTAGTGCGGCTGGCTTAAGATGCCCCAGTGAGGGATAAATAGGGCCCGCGGGCTTTATACCCCCCCCCCCACACCTGATTTAGGATGCAGCATACCAGGTAAGTCATAGGGTTGTTGGTATGTACCTAATTATAAGACGCACTGTGTGTGTGGGCTGGGTGCGTCTTACGGGGAGCGGTAGTGTCACGCGCTGCGCTACGAACCCGTCGACTCCACTTTCGATTGCCCATTCGCGGCCAACACCGGTCCTGGGCCTCCCCTAGGTCGACTCAGCCTCAAACGAGTACCTGGCGCGTTGTGTAAACATCGCCACGAGGGAGACAAAGGCGGTCGGGCGTGGTGCTGGCCACCCACCCCCTCGTGCGCCGTGCCAGCCTTCATAGGCGATGCTCCTGAACAGCACTTGCCCCAACAGTCTGTCAAGGCTATACAGGGGGGGGTTGGACCTTTGTATTTGAGGTGCGTCTTACATTCCGGTGCGTGTTTACAACGTTGAATCTGTAGAATACGATGACACACGCACACACAAGTCCCCGGCGCTGTCGTGAGTGTTAGCAGGCTGGCTTAGTAACGCGGCAAGGCATTCTGTGAGCCAGACGTGTCACGGTTTGTAAAGTCTGCTCAGTCTCTGTGTGTGTGTCGCAAGCAGGATATCAGGGGCAATACAAGTGTGGGCTGGTTGATAGGTGAATGATTGGTGGGCAGGTGGTTGACGTGGTGCTTAAGTGGCGCTGGTCAAGTGCGTCTTGAGTTTCCACCACAGGTGAGTGTGCCACACATCGGTTTAACTGTGCAGATGGGACTATCTCAACCAAGCCGGTGTATCTCTACATGCTGTGTGTCTGTAAGCCGGTGTATCTCTACAGGCTGTGTGTCTGTAAGCCGGTGTATCTCTACATGCTGTGTTGTGTAACCCGGTGTATCTCTACAGGCTGTGTGTCTGTAAGCCGGTGTGTCTCTACAGGCTGTGTGTCTGTAAACCGGTGTGTCTCTACAGGCTGTGTGTCTGTAAGCCGGTGTATCTCTACATGCTGTGTGTCTGTAAGCCGGTGTATCTCTACATGCTGTGTGTCTGTAAGCCGGTGTATCTCTACATGCTGTGTGTCTGTAAGCTGGTGTATCTCTACATGTTGTGTGTCTGTAAGCCGGTGTATCTCTACATGCTGTGTTGTGTAACCCGGTGTATCTCTACAGGCTGTGTGTCTGTAAGCCGGTGTGTCTCTAAAGGCTGTGTGTCTGTAAGCTGGTGTATCTCTACATGCTGTGTGTCTGTAAGCCGGTGTATCTCTACATGCTGTGTGTCTGTAAGCTGGTGTGTATCTCTACATGCTGTGTGTCTGTAAGCCGGTGTGTCTCTACATGCTGTGTGTCTGTAAGCCGGTGTATCTCTACATGCTGTGTGTCTGTAAGCCGGTGTATCTCTACAGGCTGTGTGTCTGTAACCCGGTGTATCTCTACAGGCTGTGTGTCTGTAAGCTGGTGTATCTCTACATGCTGTGTGTCTGTAAGCCGGTGTATCTCTACATGCTGTGTGTCTGTAAGCTGGTGTATCTCTACAGGCTGTGTGTCTGGTGTGTCTGCAAGCCGGTGTATCTCTACATGCTGTGTGTCTGTAAGCCGGTGCATCTCTACAGGCTGTGTGTCTGGTGTGTCTGCAAGCCGGTGTATCTCTACATGCTGTGTGTCTGTAAGCCGGTGTATCTCTACAGGCTGTGTGTCTGTAAGCCGGTGTATCTCTACATGCTGTGTGTCTGTGAGCCGGTGTATCTCTACAGGCTGTGTGTCTGTGAGCCGGTGTATCTCTACAGGCTGTGTGTCTGTAAGCCGGTGTATCTCTACAGGCTGTGTGTCTGTAAGCCGGTGTATCTCTACATGCTGTGTGTCTGTAAGCTTGTGTATCTCTACATGCTGTGTGTCTGTAAGCTGGTGTATCTCTACATGCTGTGTATCTGTAAGCCGGTGTATCTCTACATGCTGTGTGTCTGTAAGCCGGTGTATCTCTACATGCTGTGTGTCTGTAAGCTGGTGTATCTCTACATGCAGTGTGTCTGTAAGCTGGTGTATCTCTACATGCTGTGTGTCTGTAAGCTGGTGTATCTCTACAGGCTGTGTCTGTAGGCCGGTGTATCTATACATGCTCTGTGTCTGTAAGCCGGTATATCTCTACATGATGTGTGTCTGTAAGCTGGTATATCTCTACAGGCTGTGTTTGTAAGCCGGTGTATCTCTACATGCTGTGTGTCTGTAAGCAGGTGTATCTCTACATGCTGTGTGTCTGTAAGCCGGTGTATCTCTACATGCTGTGTGTCTGTAAGCCGGTATATCTCTACATGCTGTGTGTCTCTAAGCCGGTGTAGCTCTACAGGCTGTGTGTCTGTAAGCCGGTGTATCTCTACATGCTGCGTGTCTGTAAGCCGGTGTGTATCTCTACAGGCTGTGTCTGTAAGCCGGTGTGTATCTCTACATGCTGTGTGTCTGTAAGCCGGTGTGTATCTCTACATGCTGTGTGTCTGTAAGCCGGTGTATCTCTACAGGCTGTGTGTCTGTAAGCCGGTGTGTATATCTACATGCTGTGTGTCTGTAAGCCGGTGTATCTCTACAGGCTGTGTGTCTGTAAGCCGGTGTATCTCTACATGCTGTGTTGTGTAACCCGGTGTATCTCTACAGGCTGTGTGTCTGTAAGCCGGTGTGTCTCTACAGGCTGTGTGTCTGTAAACCGGTGTGTCTCTACAGGCTGTGTGTCTGTAAGCCGGTGTATCTCTACATGCTGTGTGTCTGTAAGCCGGTGTATCTCTACATGCTGTGTGTCTGTAAGCCGGTGTATCTCTACATGCTGTGTGTCTGTAAGCCGGTGTGTATCTCTACAGGCTGTGTCTGTAAGCCGGTGTGTATCTCTACATGCTGTGTGTCTGTAAGCCGGTGTGTATCTCTACATGCTGTGTGTCTGTAAGCTGGTGTATCTCTACAGGCTGTGCGTCTGTAAGCCGGTGTATCTCTACATGCAGTGTGTCTGTAAGCCAGTGTATCTCTACATGCTGTGTGTCTGTAAGCCGGTGTATCTCTACAGGCTGTGTGTCTGTAAGCTGGTGTATCTCTACATGCAGTGTGTCTGTAAGCTGGTGTATCTCTACATGCTGTGTGTCTGTAAGCTGGTGTATCTCTACATGCTGTATGTCTGTAACCCGGTGTATCTCTACATGCTGTGTGTCTGTAAGCCGGTGTATCTCTACATGCTGTGTGTTTGTAAGCCGGTGTATCTCTACATGCTGTGGGTCTGTAAGCCGGTATATCTCTACAGGCTGTGTCTGTAAGCCGGTGTATCTCTACAGGCTGTGTCTGTAGGCCGGTGTATCTATACATGCTCTGTGTCTGTAAGCCGGTATATCTCTACATGATGTGTGTCTGTAAGCTGGTATATCTCTACAGGCTGTGTTTGTAAGCCGGTGTATCTCTACATGCTGTGTGTCTGTAAGCAGGTGTATCTCTACATGCTGTGTGTCTGTAAGCCGGTGTATCTCTACATGCTGTGTGTCTGTAAGCTGGTGTATCTCTACATGCTGTGTTTGTAAGCTGGTGTATCTCTACATGCTGTGTGTCTGTAAGCCGGTGTATCTCTACATGCTGTGTGTCTGTAAGCCGGTGTATCTCTACATGCTGTGTGTCTGTAAGCCGGTGTGTCTCTACATGCTGTGTGTCTGTAAGCCGGTGTGTCTCTACATGCTGTGTGTCTGTAAGCCGCTGTGTGTCTGTAAGCCCGTGTATCTCTACATGCTGTGTGTCTGTAAGCCGGTGTGTCTCTACATGCTGTGTGTCTGTGAGCCGGTGTATCTCTACATGCTGTGTGTCTGTGAGCCGGTGTATCTATACAGGCTGTGTGTCTGTAAGCCGGTGTGTCTCTACAGGCTGTGTGTCTGTGAGCCGGTGTATCTCTACATGCTGTGTGTCTGTAAGCCGGTGTATCTCTACATGCTGTGTGTCTGTAAGCCGGTGTGTATCTCTACAGGCTGTGTCTGTAAGCCGGTGTGTATCTCTACATGCTGTGTGTCTGTAAGCCGGTGTGTATCTCTACATGCTGTGTGTCTGTAAGCTGGTGTATCTCTACAGGCTGTGCGTCTGTAAGCCGGTGTATCTCTACATGCAGTGTGTCTGTAAGCCAGTGTATCTCTACATGCTGTGTGTCTGTAAGCCGGTGTATCTCTACAGGCTGTGTGTCTGTAAGCTGGTGTATCTCTACATGCAGTGTGTCTGTAAGCTGGTGTATCTCTACATGCTGTGTGTCTGTAAGCTGGTGTATCTCTACATGCTGTATGTCTGTAACCCGGTGTATCTCTACATGCTGTGTGTCTGTAAGCCGGTGTATCTCTACATGCTGTGTGTTTGTAAGCCGGTGTATCTCTACATGCTGTGGGTCTGTAAGCCGGTATATCTCTACAGGCTGTGTCTGTAAGCCGGTGTATCTCTACAGGCTGTGTCTGTAGGCCGGTGTATCTATACATGCTCTGTGTCTGTAAGCCGGTATATCTCTACATGATGTGTGTCTGTAAGCTGGTATATCTCTACAGGCTGTGTTTGTAAGCCGGTGTATCTCTACATGCTGTGTGTCTGTAAGCAGGTGTATCTCTACATGCTGTGTGTCTGTAAGCCGGTGTATCTCTACATGCTGTGTGTCTGTAAGCTGGTGTATCTCTACATGCTGTGTTTGTAAGCTGGTGTATCTCTACATGCTGTGTGTCTGTAAGCCGGTGTATCTCTACATGCTGTGTGTCTGTAAGCCGGTGTATCTCTACATGCTGTGTGTCTGTAAGCCGGTGTGTCTCTACATGCTGTGTGTCTGTAAGCCGGTGTGTCTCTACATGCTGTGTGTCTGTAAGCCGCTGTGTGTCTGTAAGCCCGTGTATCTCTACATGCTGTGTGTCTGTAAGCCGGTGTGTCTCTACATGCTGTGTGTCTGTGAGCCGGTGTATCTCTACATGCTGTGTGTCTGTGAGCCGGTGTATCTATACAGGCTGTGTGTCTGTAAGCCGGTGTGTCTCTACAGGCTGTGTGTCTGTGAGCCGGTGTATCTCTACATGCTGTGTGTCTGTAAGCCGGTGTATCTCTACATGCTGTGTGTCTGTAAGCCGGTGTGTCTCTACATGCTGTGTGTCTGTAAGCCGGTGTGTATATCTACAGTGGGCCAGTTTGAGTCACGGGCTGGTACGGCATGTGGATGTTTGTTGTCGGATGTGGGGAATGCGAGGGAGGAGTCCGCATAGAGAGAGGGGGAGGTAGAGTGGGAGGGTGGAGGTAGAGTGGGAGGGGGGAGGGAGTGGGGGAGGGAGTGGGGGGGGGTAGAGTGGGAGGGGGGGTAGAGTGGGAGGGGGGAGGTAGAGAGTGGGAGGGAGTGGGGGGGTAGAGAGTGGGAGGGGGGAGGGAGAGAGTGGGGAGTAGGAGGGGAGTCGGGAGACGAGGAGGGGAGACACGCAGGGGGCTGCCATCTTATCGCCAGCAGCGCAGAGCACACGGTCGGACAGGTGAGCGATCCACACCTCCTTCGTTCACGGGTGCCCCCCACTCCCAGCGATACGCTACTCCCCCCCCCCTCTTCAACAACAAGGGTACCCCACCACCACCCCTAAGCAACACAGGGACCCCCCCCCCACCCCACTCGCTTCTCCCCTCTCTGCCGGAGCGAGGGGGCGAAGGAGGACGGCGACCCTGGCCCAGGTGCGGGGGGAGTCTCAACAGGTGTGGCTCTCGCCTACCCCCCCCGTGCCCCCCCCC